ACTCAGTCAGCTAACGAAATCAGTCAACCAAGCCGGTAAAAACCAAACAGAGCAAAAATTGAAACGAAAAGGCACAGAATAACGCGACGCATACCACATAGCATAGTCTGTATGTCTGCAATGAATATTTATATGTATGTATATTTATGAACAAATACATATATATATATATTAACGAGCGTCATATATGTGATTATAGTATTTTATATTATTTTCTCTATTCATTTGCTTTTATTTAATTTTATATTTTATTCCAACCACTATGGATAAAGATATGCTAGCTTTGTCGTTTTATTAATATCGTTTAAATCCTCCATAAAATCTTCTGAGACGGTTTATTTATATCTGCCTAGCGCAAACACCATCATTGATGGTCCTAGATAGCGTTTGTAATTTTAATCTGATTTGAATGATCTGCTTAAACATTCTGATCTTAAATCAAGTTACAACTTTAACGGATAAGCATCGCCTTCAAATTCATCCGAAATGGGTATAAAACGCTAAAATGATCAGAGCAGAAATTCAATTTTTTTTAATAATAATAATCGATAGTGATCGATTGTCTCCGTTAAACCGTTTTTATGACAATAGATTCATTTAGAAGTAAAAAATCGATTGATGAGATGAAATGAAAATAAAATAATTATTATATCCTACGTCATTTGCTGTTACAAGTTTATGCAAATGTATGTCCGCAAGAACTTGAGATAGACCCAACTTTTATTATACCGATCGATTTATAATCACTTTCGAAATCGATTTAAACTTGTCTGTCCGTCGGTCTGTATTGTTTGCTTGTGTTCAAACTAGAGACTATAAACTCGTAGGAAATTTGGTCCAGAGAGGAATGCTAAGGAATCGTCGTTTCAGACCACGATGTTTTCGACCGCTTCCCGCATGACGCATTGTTTCTGATTTAACTGTAGGGTCTTTAATGATGGATCTATTGGTTTTCTATTGGTTTATTTTGTTTTGCTTCAATATACTTTCTTCCATTTTCTTATTTATTGTTTTTCTTTATTTTTTTTATTTACATATTGATGACTAGTACTGTTACCTGCAACTATGGACTTCATTTTGGGCCAATTTCATCCTAATTGATTTAAATATTTACTCGCAAAGCTTCCCAAACTGAAATTTTATTTCGGTTTCTAGATTATTTTGGAATTGTCTTGAATCAGTTTATTGAAACACATATATCCAAATTCGAAAACGATTTTTGGCTTATATAATTTTGCTAATTATATAACTAAATGATTAAGTAATTTTAACGCCAATAGTGGGAAAGCGGGCCTGATCAGTTGTAAGGCGTGAGCGGATTTTTATTCAACTTAAACATGGGCGGTATATATCTATATCTAGTATTTGGAGAGTCGGCTTTAAATGATATCGTTGATGGTTTTAAATCTGTATGTTTATTTCTTTGTTTTACTAAGAAGTTGTAAATCCTAATAATTTTAAAACTATGATGTACATTATTCGTCCACTGGAGACTTTGAAACATACATGTAGCAGTTCGCAATTATTTTACCCTACCTATTTAATTATTTGTGAGTCCTATGCGTAAAATATTTTTTTGTGGCTAAGGGAGCACTCAATGGTTTGCGCCTTAATTGACGAAAAATATCCGTTTTTTTAAAAATTGCAACTAGACCCATGAAAGCGACTCCATTACTCTCCAATGTGAAGATTAAATGTACCTTATAATGCCAACTATTCTGCAGTGCAACCAAATCGCAAATATAGATTTACTAGGAGAGTACCCTATTTGTCGGACTATAATACGCACGGTGCGATTCGACGCACATTCACATTTGTAAAATGATTTTTGGAAAAATATATTTTAATGTTACTTTTGCTGTCAAAACGTAGAAATCCATAATTTGAAAATTATGCGATATGGGCGATATAAGTTGATACATTGAAATGAAATAAGCTACACCTATTAGCGAGGGAAAATCGAATTGCCGCATGCTTATCGCAGCCAGTACATTAGTTTCACAAAGAATTTGCAATGCATTGAAGTTCGCTCGCTGTCCGTCTGTTATTATTACGATCGGGCCTAAAAGCTTTATCCAGAGGAGTCAACTTTGCCTTATTATTCTGTTGGCAGCAGTTAAAAAATCAGTAAAATTTACATATGATATAAACTATAAGACACAAAATAAGGGTAAATTTTAGATATATGGGATTAGTCTTTAACTCTCACTGAATGATACTTTGGACTCCAATTCGACAGGCTGCCCAAATAAATCGACTATTCTGGCTATAAATACCCCGAAATTTTATGTATAACACGTCAATCTATATTATTCCTTTACTTTATGCAATTATCTACAAGGTAGAACACATTTTGTAGAAATTCAATTTTGCACTTACCTGAATATTGCCTGTGATTGCACACTAACTGCTGGTACCTAAGTTTAATAGTATTACGTATTTATTTTTATATATCCGTAATACATTTGTACAGATTCGAAAACTCGGTCTGAAATTCGGACTCAATTTATCTATTTGTTTATCATACAAGCGTGTCACCAAAAAGATTAAAATCCGCGAATGAAATTTAAAAGTAAACCACTCAGGGCTCATAAATCTACACAAATCGCTAAGCAAGCAGAAAAACTAGGAATATATTTGCTCATGATTATAGCAACTATTAAGTAATTTAAATTAAAGATATGTTTGCTTAAAATTAAAGATATCATATACATCGTTTTTTCGTTTTTTACACTTTTAATTTAATTGTTGTTCTGATTCGATTAAACCAACTCGGAATCTCTCGACTTGATCAACAATATATAATTCTTAACGCATATGAAAATAATATCTTACACATTTTCCGTTCATGTTTATTCTATTTAATAGAACATGCTTAACTATATAACTTCAATAATATACAAAAAATTGATAGATAAAATTATCTCACCATTTTTCACATTTTTAAGTTTCGTATTAAGGAAATTATGTGAATTGATTGAAAGAAAATTATCCTAAGCATTTTGCTTTTTTCTTTTAGGCAGAAATATTAGAATTACTTTAAAGATATTATGCAAGAACAATTAAAACACATTATCCGGCGAGACGTACGTTTTATTAAGAACACAAAATATTAAGCTTCAATATTTGTTATGGTTTTTATTACCTTCGTAGCCGTATACACATAAACTTAATGTCGTAGCAAAATTTGCTATCGAATACGTGAATTTGACAATATGTCATCGTTTTGACAACGCTTCATATACACTTTTCAATCTTTAATATTTAATCACAATCTTTAGACACACGACACACAGATACGCCATATGGAATTTTCAACCGCAAGCATGTATAGAAATTGTAGTCTGTGAAATAAACAGTCCGCAATATAAAATTCCCAATTGCAGCCTGTGGTATAATGTGAAAATGGAAGAAAAATCTTAAAGCATACCTTATATAGAAATAAATATATGAACTAACACTTCCCTTCAATATTATTCACACATATCTCTTTCCATTGGATTTGTTTGCATCCACCTGAGTGGCTGAGTAGGCAAGAGTCTCGACTAGCAACTCAGTGGTTGTGGGTTCAAATCTCAAGTGCGGCAGAGTTTTTAATAAAGCCGAAAGCCTTAGATGCTAGTGCTTCAAGAGTTTAGTCTTAGAATTTATTCTCTGGCTAAATTAATAATAATAATAATAATAGATTTATTTGCGTGCATTTTATCGGAAATCCACTGCATCCAGAAAGGTACGTTGAACGTATGCTGTTCCTTCCATGCCTTCGCAAACAAACAGGAATGAAAGGATTATTGTACTACTTGAAGAAAAACGAAACCCAAAACGTCTATTGCTGAACAAAAAGAGAAAGTTACGACGAGCGGTAAACAATGACAGTCCGGATTAAGTATAACGTTCTACTAAAAAAAAAAATATATATATATATAGGAACAAAAGAATTTTCCGATTTTGCAATCTGCAACATTATGATAGTCCCACCTTGTTGTCAAGCCTTTATATTAAGCTTAGATTACGGATAATTTTAGTAATTTCTGCAAAGTTTTTACTTGAAAAAAAGGAATTACATTCAAAAGCTTTAAGGTCCAAAAATTATGGTATTCAGTTAAGTGACAAAATCAATAGGATACCACGTTGATAACAAAAAATAAAAAAATCGATGTCAGTAAACGTAAAAACACACTTTTGGGGCGTGACTTAAACTTTTACAACTTTTTACGACAATTTGTGGAAATTGAAAAATGCTACGGTTTTATACCTTCGCATACGAAGAACGGGGAACAAAGGCGCATTTCCAAACTATCTCCACCACTTTCACCTGCAAAATTAATTTTTGAAATCTTCTTCGTACTGATTTTAGATTCAAAGAAAAAGTGCATTGAAACTTTCTATAACAAATTGATTAGCCAAACTTATTTGCATCCTAAACATTCAGTAGAAAGGAAGTTATTTGTAAGAGAGAATTTCTTTTGATTGTTTAATTTTATTTTTCAGGGGAAAAACGTTTTAAAGTAATTATTTCGATATTTACGGCACTGGGCAACGACGATTTCATTCTCAATGGAAATGCCTTATCCGCGGCACGCAATGCTTACATAATGCTTAGGGCGCACTTTGTTTGCGTGCGTTGCTAAAATAAAATCATATGATAAGCGTTGGTTTTAATAAACGTTAATAAAATGCAAAATTACTAAAACGAAAAATTTCTTTGAAAAATAACCTTTTCGAAGCAAAATACAGTTAATGAGGTAAACAATTTTTCCCCGTATTGAAGTAGATTTTGATTTATTTTTTTGTACATATATGACAAATGGTAATGTACATTAATATCATATTTTGCTTGAAACTTGAGCCATATGATTTTTTTCTTGCCTCTATATATACATCGCTATTTTGGCTGTCAAAAACAATGCACGCAGGAGTTTTAACAGTTTGTTTGCGTTTTAATTAAAGAATACGTGCATTTGTTTACGAAAATGGAAAAAGAAAGAAAATAGAGCAATCAGAACATAGAAAACAAACAGTCACTTAAAAACATTTACATTAAAAACAATTTAAAATATAGTGGATTCGAGTCCATCTAATTTTATTGCATAAAAATATAATTTAATGAACGTACAAAAAATGGAAGAGTGTGAGGAGTTCGAACTTTCGCTTTTACAAAAATGCGGCGAGATTTTTTGTGATACTTTGACGGCTTCAGATGTAAATGTCAGTTTTCAATGCACATTCTGCCGGAAAACTTATGCGGAATTAAATGCATTTACACAACATTTGCAAAGTGAACATTACAAAGCGCCTACACCTACAGATGAAATTTCTTCGGAAAGTGATAGAGAAGAAAACGCGGCAGTAATCCTATTTTCTACTGAAGACAATCTTACCACGGCTGAAGAACATATTAACCAATATGTATTGGATAAAAATGACGATACGACATCTGCGTTGGAATATGTTCTGAAAAGTCCGGAATTGGAAATGCATAGTGACCACAATTCCAATCAGAGTGCGCACACTGAATTGGCAGCAACAAAGCGAGAATATATTTGTCCGCAATGCAACAAAGTGTTCAAGGAAGCCTGCGATTTGAAGCAGCATTTAAGTACACATGATAGCATGAAGCCTTATAAATGCGAATACTGCCCAGCATCTTACGTTTATAAATCGAATCTTACAACTCATAAAAGATGCCATGAGAGCAATGGAACCTATAAGTGCCACGAGAGAGAAAGACAGAAAGGGCGAAAAACGTGCCTTTTTTGTGCGAAGATATTTACTTCTACTAGCAATCGACGCCGTCATGAACGCATTCATACTGGCGAACGTCCGTTTGTATGCGAATTCTGTGGTAGAAGTTTTTCTTCTTCATCTGACTTAATTAGTCATCGTAGTAGCCAGCACTTAAAAGAACGAAATTTTGTTTGTGATATATGTGATAAACGTTTTAACAGACGTAGTCAACTGAACATTCATAAAGCAAATGTTCATTCTGAAAAACCGCCTACTCATATCTGTACAAAATGTGGAGCGGCCTTCCAAAAGATACACGATTTAAAAACCCATGTTAATGTTCATAAAGAAAGAGCCTATAAATGTTTAGAGTGTGATAAATTGTTCGCTCATCCCTCTGGTTTGTATGCTCATCGAAAAATACATCGGAAAAGAGAAGCCAAGCTGGAAGACATTTGACATGACTTATTCGTTTAATTTACAATATTTCATATTAATATATGCAAACAGAGGAACGATTTTAAAAAATCGCACATGTCCTTTCGATTCAATATGGGTGAATCTAACGAAATACCTAATTTGAGAATTATCATAGCAAAAGTATTCGATAGAAGGCCGAATAATTTAAGTATTAAAACTGAAAGTAGAGCTTATAAGCATCGCTATATGTCAATATGTCAACAATAATATGCTTCAATAACTCGCAGTACCAAGAAAAGTATTTTGCTGCTCCTTCAAGAGTGAACCGATGAATCAGTCAAATGAAGGTTTTCAAAATGCGCATCGGTTTCCGCAGTGAACGCGCTGTTAGGGCTACATTTTTTCCCTGTAGCATTATTTCGAGATTTACGGTATACGGTAGATGCGGCAACAAGTCGCACTTTAATTCATACAAATTTGCCATTGTACCGCTTCGACTTGGGATACAGTAAATAATGCGGAGTAGTGAAGACATTTTAATATGTCTTTACGATGTAAGCTTTCTCTTGCAACTTTGTTTTTTGGTTATCGAGAATAACTACCAGCATTGTTTTCAATTGCTCTGGTGGCACCATCTCCTTTAGGCGTCAATGTACGCCCCCGTTTAAAATCAGAAAATCGTCTCAAAAAAGAATTGCGTTGCAGTGAAAGTGGCATAACGGTAAAGCGATGAAGCGAATGAATAAAAAAACCTGAAATTTTGACAACTTGGCCCGATGTGTTATTGCAATATCTTCTAAATCGATTCATTTTTAAAGATTCTTATTGGTGGCGTGGATTCATGTAAACCCGTAAAGGGCAAATGTACAAAATGAATTAAAGAAATTAATAATAATAGCAAAGGTAAGGAGAGATATAGGTCCCAAGGTCACTTGGACTTCGTTCTAAGCACTTTCAACAAAATAATAGAAAAGAAGGAAATTGTTTATAGGTTTAATGTTTATTGTACAGACAGAAATTGTCATAACAATGGATAATATATGTAATAATGCACGCAGTACATATTGACGAATATATTATTCCAACTATCGCAAAAAACATTGCTGACATTTTTATTTCGCTGTCGATAAGTTAGAAAGCGCGGAATTTTCTTTTCGCTTTCCTTGAGAAAAGATTGTGAATTCGCGGTCATTCCAATTTTTCATGTCATTGCTGTTCAGGTTGGATTGCATAACAAAGCAATTTCTACTTCTATTGCTTTTAGCCGCCGAACCAGTTTTTGGGGTTTTTTCTGTTTTATTTCTCTTGATCGTCAGTTATACCAGTTTCTTGTTGGCGAAAAGGAGAATTAAAAACTCCTCCTGGTATCTGGATAACCACATTCATTTAAATTTTTTACAAATAAAAAGAAAATGTTTACGTCCTTGTTTAAATTCCTATTTAATTTTGATTTTCTCGAAAGAAATATATAATAGGTCATATTAAAAATACTCTGCAGGATGTGGTTGTTGCGTAGATATCGGACAATAAATTGTCTTAAGCGAAAATGTGGTTAAAAGGTGACGTTCAGGTTATATTTTATGTGAAGACAGCGAAAAAGTCGATGAAATTTTACAACTGGTGGAGCAAGACTGTCAGGAAACAGTGGAGGCACTAAATATCAACCACATGACAGTTTGGAATCATTTGAATAGAGAAGGCTACAAGAAGATGCTCGAAACGATCTAATATTTAATCAATTATTTTTCATACGCGATTTTGCAACGCTGGATATCCTCTTCTTCTTTCTTAACTTACTGTGCATATATCTCCATCTCCATTCGCGTTTTTTTAGATTGCCGGTTTTAAGTAACTAAAACCAGTCCTTTCCAGTCCTTTGGGAAAATTTACATTGAAGCAAATTTTACAAGCCTATAAACGATGGCCGTGTGCGAGATGCTAGAGCTTTCGGTCTTGCAAAAATGCGGAGAGATTTTTTGCGATACTTTGACGTCTTCAAATGTGGATGTGAGTTTTCAGTGCACTTTTTGCCGGAAAACTTTAATGGAACTAAATACATTTTTGCTACATTTACAAATCGAACATTGCAAACCGCCGATAACTACAGAAGAGTTTCGTATAGAAAGTGTAGAAGAAATAAAAGAAGAAGAAGACACGGAAGAAGGGGAAATTGAAGATGCGGAAGAATTTTTCTTCGAAACGGAAGAAGTGCTTTTTGAAGCGGCAGATATCCCCATTGTAGGAGAAGATGATGTCAGCCAATACGAGTTAGATAAAGATGAAGAAATACCTATTCCATTGGAGCATGTCTTGAAAAGCACCGAAATTGAAATGAAAAGTGGCTACAATTCCAAAAAAAGTGTACGTTCTACATCGCTGGCGGTGAAGCGTAAACGTCGGGAACACGGTTGTCCCTATTGCGATAGAATATTTAAGAGAGCCTGGGATTTAAAGGACCACTTAAACACGCACGATCGCCCAAAGCCTTTTAAGTGCGAAATTTGTCCAGCGTCATACTTTTACAAATCAAATCTTACAAATCATATGACATGCCATAAAATTTGTAAAAGTCGGAAGAATCGAAGCCCGCAAAAACCAAAAGAACGTAAATTATGCCGCTTTTGTCCAAAGACTTTTACTACGACGACCCATCGGCGCCGTCACGAACGCATTCATACTGGCGAGCGACCTTATATTTGCGAGATCTGCGGCAGAAGTTTTGCTTCATCTGCTGAATTAAGTAGTCACCGCAGTTGTCGGCATTTACATGAACGAAATTTTGTTTGCTATATATGTGACAAACGTTTTAACCGACGTAGTCAACTGAACATACATAAAGCAAATATCCACATTGCAAGGCCGGCCACTCATATATGTACAATCTGTAAAGCGGCTTTCAAACGGATAACCGAATTAAAAACCCATATTAATGTTCATAAAGTGAAAGTTTACAAATGTACCGAGTGCAACAAATTGTTCGCTCACCATTCCGGTTTGTATGTGCATCAAAAAATCCATAAAAGACAAAGAGACGAATGGCTAACAGATTCATCGGTGTAAAAAGCCTAGAAATAAGAAAATTTCGATAGTGAACTAATTTGAACTGGCCTTGCATGTGTAACATAAAATAATAAAGTTTTATAGCCATTTAAGCAAACAATGGAAAATTAAAAAACATTCCAAGTGCATGTCCTGCAATTACTTCCTTACCTTAATGGCTTTTCTCTTTTTGATAGGACATCCCACATGAAACCCTTTTGCCACTGTTATGCTCTACGCCACAATATCTATTTTCTAAAGACGTTGAAAATATTGAAAAGCTCTATTTCTTGCCGAAATTTTCTACGATTTATTATTTTTTAATAGCGCCTTTCTTAGAAATATACTAATTTTCCGCGAAGGAAGTAAACGATAATACACCACGTACACTAAGGCATTAATAATATAGCATGACTTCATTTTTCTCAACAAGCCAAGAGAGAGATTGGCTTGACCAATAGGAAGTGCATACATCGCGAGAACAATCTCAAATTATTATATTTAAAAACTTTATTATTCAACAAGTAAAATTGATTAAAAATACATACTGTAAATGGATTAATAGTTCAAATAGTACCTACCTAGTCTAAATAATATTTTACAATTTTTCTATTATTGATCAAGTTCAAGTAGATATGTTTTTTATTTTTTTTTTTTAAGAAAGAAAAACAAATTTTTTTATGATTAGAATTAGGAGTGAGTTTGGAGTTGGAGTTGATTGTGATGGAGAAAAAGTCATGCAGTGAATGATTGAGCAAAATGCGGTCATCTATTATTCAATTTTAAAAGAAAAAAAGAAAGAATTTCTAAAATGATTATAAAGAATCTTTCTCCCGTATTCAAGCTATTGTAAGGATTCTTTCACCAGTACAAGTCGGTTGACATTAGTTATTAAACATCAAAAATAAGGATTTTAATAAAAAATCATCAAAATAAAGGAAGTAATAAATAAATGGTATCGTCAACACCAAATAATTATATATTTGATTGGTGGTAACCGTCCGTAAAATTTGAACAAATATACGTAAATATACAAAGCAGAAAAAGAAGACAAAAAATTATAAAATAAAATGTAAACTAAAAGAAAATTACTCTATTATTTAGTTATTAATTATTGTTGGTTATGTTTTGTTGTTTAGTTGTTAATTTTTTCTTATATTATAACTGTTTTGTTAAAAAAATTTCCATCAACGAATGCATTCGGTGTCAAATGATCCATTTTTTATTTTTGACAAATAGAACCTAGAATATAAAAAAATACAATGATCCTTTTGTGCGGGGCCACAACCCGGCCTAGATCGCATTTCATACTATATGATCAGTGCTGTGTCCAATTCAAGTAAAAAGTAGTTGCTGGACCTACATAATACGGTTTTTTTGCATTACCAACATGTGGAAATTGGCGTCAATTGTTCGAATTCCAATCTCTCTTCTCTACTGGAAAAGATTATGCCATCTAGATCATTCGGATTTTTTGAATCCAAGAATCTGATTACAAAGCAACAAATAAGTTTCAAACAGGCTGCATCGATGCTCTCCTTCATATCAATTATTTTACAACTAAATTCTGCAATTTCTGAATGGAATCTTGTAACATTTCTCTCAATTGAATTCGAAATAGGTTGGACCCAAATTTTTAATTAAATCAAATCATTCATGTTGCATCGAAAGTTTAAAGTTAGGGTTAACAATCATGTCTCTGATTCTTTTCCACTAATGAATGGCATTCCACAAGGATGTCCGCTGTCTGTCACGCTTTTTCAGCGCCTTTTCAATGAAATAATTAAATTCCGTGCCTTATATCGAGAATTGAGCACTGTCTCTACGTGGACGATGTATACATTTTAATTAAAGGAAGAGATAAAGTGATGGCAATCAACATTCTCGAACATATTGTGCGAGAGATCGCAATGTGGGTAAATTCGTTAGACGCCAAAATTTCAACACAAAAATCAAAAAAAAAACGCACACATGCAAAGCAGATATTTTATGCAGATAATCGACCGATGCATATTAATGACCCGTGTAAAATGTGCAATCGCTGAATATTCTCGGGCTCACATTCTCCAACAAACCTCGTTGGAAATCACAATATCTTCAGTTAAAAAATTCCATTTTAACAAGGGTGAATTTAACGTAATAAATTGCTTGAAAAGACTATGCGCATACTAAGACTTGCTTATCCCGAATTGCCTACTTATCTCTTGAATTGTTAGGACCCGATGTTTCCTTTTCGCTTTTCTTACCGCCATCTTCCATCCTTTCTGTATTTCTTGAAAGTTTCCAAACTTGATGGAGTTTGCATGTCTTGCCAACTTTCGCTTGGAGGCTTGCAGCCTGCAGAAAGTCGTAAAAGGGAACCATCCCGCTATGGCTTTGGAGAAAACGTCGTCCTAAGATTGGTTCGCGCCGAATGGATTTCCTGTTGACACCTGTTGTGGCAATGTCTTGGCTGTGTTTGCGTGGTTTTGTTGAGACAAACTAAGCTGCTTAAACTTATTATATCGCAGAGAGTCTTGCCCATACCCCTGGAGACTGTGTCACCAAGCTGAGAAGGTCTTGGGTTGAAATCTCTAGCAAGAACTACTTTTTGGAAGCCTTCAAGAAAAATACACAGATCTTTCATAATAGGAATGGTTTGAAATTGCAGTAAGCTGCCACAAGATTCGAACCTACAATTGAAGATAGCGTTCGACTTGAGAGATGAAGTTTTCGCAATGACTATGTCTACAGACGACTTGACTTGAATTTGCCTAAGGATCCTTTTTTAATAAGGATGGCCACCCCACCGTATCCGTCGACGTGACACTTATATACCGAACTATTCAAGTCGCATTAGGAATAACAAAGTTAATTCCACTGGAGTTAAGGAGGGGAGGAGGTCTAAAACTTTGAATATTATAATGCAAGAAAAACGCCATTTTTACTTATTGGAGGTCATTAGACTATAACATTTGACTCAGATTGTTTTAGTTTCTCATAGGTGGATTTAAAAGCGGACATTATAATCCACACGGAATACGCAAAAGTTGAATTCAATGACTTAAGGGATGGCTTTTTCCTTAAAGTCGATTTTGATACTGTTCGTCAGAATAAAATTGTTGTTGCCAGAGGAGATTCGAGCGTTCATACGCTTCGATACCCTGGTTCGTTGTGTGTCGGACGAGTCCACATCCGAAACTCTTCATCAAATGCATGAAGTGGCGCAATCGGGGAGGCCGTTCGCCAATTTATGGTCAGTAAACTTGCTGAATCCTTCCTCACGAAATCCTTCTCCGAAAACTCATACTTCTGGTACCGTACGTGGAAATAGGCCCAATTGGGGAACTGGGAAACTGGCCCAATTTAATGGTGAAAAAGAATGTGTGAGACCGCCTAGGAGTAACTATGCTGCGGCTGTAAAAGATTCGACGAGCTCAACATCGACATTATTGCTGAATCCTACTAATGCCATCTTTCCAGTACTTTATAGTTCTTTACCCTCTCATCAGGCCATAAATCTTGCATCCAAGGCAACCATAGACTGCCTGTGCGACCCAGAAAATCGATCTTTATTGCAAGGCTGACTCCTTGTACAGATTTCGAAGAGAGAATAGAGTATCCATTTTTAAGTTAAAAGCTACCCAAGATAGGAGCATTGCCTCCTTCAAATTTTTGGTATCCATGGAAAAGTCGTAGACAAATCGGTTTGGCCAAAGAAGACCCTGGTGTAACAATTCATCCCTGAAGATAAAGCTTCAGTGAATAATTCTGCAGCCGAATATGCTACGTTATGCCAGTAACATAATTAGGGAGCCAAAAAGCTTATAAACCGCTCCCAGCCTCTACAATCGTTATGTCGGAATATTAGTGGTTTAAATACGAAGCTTCATACTATATATCATATATAAGAAGTTCAAGTACCGACTTCCATGTCTAAGCGTTTTCTGAAACATAACTTAAGTCAAATGTATATTTTTCTCAAATTTTGTGTGATAACTTCCAGTTATTTAGAATTGATAGATCCTATAAATCGAACGGTGGGGCTGTCATTGCAGATTTGTGCATTGCGTCCAGCTATCGTTCGAAAATCCTTCAGTCCTAATGAGGGTGAACTTTCTACGTCCGGATTAAAGGGAATGATAATTTTATTTGTGTATCGCGTTCGTACATACTATCTGCTTCTGATACTTTAATTTGTCTACATGTTGGTCTCCTTGAAGATATTTCCATGATGTTTAAACCAAATAACAGGTCGTTGATGAGTTGTGGTAATCTCAACGCAAGTGAATTACGCGATATATTAAATTTGATTGCAATATTTTTCAAAAATCCTATATTATTAACTAAATGTAATCAATTTTAATGATTGATGAACTTGTACCTGCCGCCTTGTTTTAATGGAATGCATAATTAACACATGATCTTCTTCCGCCAGCTAGCTTAAACACTAATTAGAATCGACTTACTTACCCAAAAAGCAGTCTTATAAATTCAGAAGATCGGAAAGAAACACCTGTTAGCCCCCACTGGTGCCCGAGGGTACAAGCCAGTCAAGTTAGGCGAGGATAATATTTGTAGCAGCGGTTGTGGCTACACCGTGCAGAAGGACATGAAGATAATAAAATTCTTCTTGTTTTCTGGATTGTATGATTAATTGTGAGACGTTTCAGTATTTCAATTTTTTTCACAGTTGACATAATTAAATAGGTTTATTGTATTCGTTCGCTAGTTCATTAATAGTTGGCTTGTTTGTATGTTTAATAAAGAGGAGAATCAGACGTTTTTTTCCGGATCTTGACAGCCACAATTCAGGATACACAAAAGTTCGTCTCTTTTTTTCTACTTTTTGAATGATAGCACGAAATTCACGCGAAAGTCTTACGTGATCGCAACAACACGTTTATCACTTATCGTCTTGATCTCCAACGAAAATTACCTTTCAGAAATGTGATTACCCTGCCATTTTCTTAACATATGCTTCACTTTATTTATTTTGATAGCAGTAGAAAATAATTTCGAGGATGTTTTCAAATAGAACAAATTTATTAAAAATTCCCATTAAACAGCAAAATATCCGTCACCTTTGCACTACGTTGACCAAATCAAAATCATTTCGACAATGGTATCGTGATTTATGGATATCTAATCACCTTTGCCAACCTCCCTATTGGCATTTTACCCAAATTGGTGACCCCATATTAAGAACTAAAGCTAGTATTGTGCCAGAGGAGGCCATTAAGGAGCCAGAAATTGCCGACTTTGTAAACCAAATGATTAAAATGTTGCGTAAATATAATTGTGTGGGCATAGCTGCACCACAAATTGGTGTATCGCTGCGAATTATTGTCATGGAATGTAAAGAAAATTTGAAAGAAAAATTCTCCAAAGAAGTGTACTTGGCTAGAGAAATGTCAACCCTCCCCTTAACGGTTAAAGAATTTTTTTAAATATTCAGAAAATATTTTTAATTAACGTAATATTTTAGGTTATGATTAATCCGACTTTAAAAGTTCTAGATTATGATAAACGTAAATTTTTGGAAAGTTGTATGAGTGTAAAAGGTTATTCTGCAGAGGTGGAACGCTATCGAAGCGTTTGTTTAACTGGTGTAGATGACAGAAATAACAAACAGTTATTAACATTGAAAGGCTGGAATGCGCGCATAGCCCAGCATGAAATGGATCATTTAGATGGTAAACTATATATCGATCATATGGATCCTTCAACATTTCATTGTACGTGCTGGGAGGTAGTTAATAGAAAAGCTGGTCGTGTTGAAATACCTTTCTATAAGTGATATATAAAAGATAAGTTTCTCATTATAAAAATAAAAAAAGGAACGCAAACAAAGGCAATTGAAAAAAATGACTTAGTGATTGTTATTATAATTTTTTTGTAAAAGGATTTGCTCTAATGACTCCCTCCTGAACTTAGCGGTCATACATATATTCACAATGACAAACAAATACGTAGAAGAATAGTAAATCTTTATTTAGCTGCTCTCCATATCATTCATTGAACTCATAACAACTAACTCGGATGAATCTCTTCTCCAAACAGTTGCCCTAAAAGTACTTAAGTAAGAGGAAGGATTCTTTCTTGTCCTTTTTAATCCGCATGTTATGTTAAAAGTAAAAAATGAGCTAAAGGGGCAAATCTGTAAGCAAGAGGCTTTGGCTTTTTAGCCCATTTCTCATTTTTTCAACTCAAATTACATGGCGTACAAAGTCTTGAAATAGTAGACAGCCACCATTTGCTTTATTTTAGAAGTAGGCAAGGTTGGTTTAAGGAATACTTAAACCAAAATAAAACAAAAAGTGGTGGATTTACATTTTGAGGGCGGAAGGGAATTAAGGCATTTGGCCGATTATTTAGGTTTCTGTATAACTTTAACTATGCAGATGTAAGCTTTAACTATGCCCATCTAAGCTATTTTTCAAGTATAAGAGCAAATTTTAAATTCATACCATTATCATATCCACTGTTCAATTCTTTAGTATGGCGTACACTCCCAACAAACTGTTTAGCAAGCTATTGTTTAAGTATCCAGAATTGTGAGACCAATTTGTTGGGCGGTAGTTGGTAGGGAGTTATTATGTTAATTATCACATATAGAGCAGTTTATGAGAAATGTTGCAAACTTTTGCTAAAAAAAAATATTTTAGAGAAAATATTGATTAAACGCAAAACTAAGGAATATTAAAAAATTATCATAAGTTAAAAAAATATATTCGCTTCTGTAGTTTTATTTTCCCGAGATAACGCACATTTTTTGCTGTAAAGAGATCGAAGAAACCATCATATAAATTGAAAAAGCTAAAAAAGTATAATAGAACGCTGAGTCTCTTAATAAATAAATAAATAAATAAACTTTCGACACTTTATGAATGTATTTTTGTGTTTATTTCCGAAAAATGATAACAAATAAAACATGTTTTTTCACAGCATTCAATACTTACGGAATAATATAGTAAAAAAAAAAAGAAATACTATTGCAATTGTAGATAAATGTAATGATAAAAAATTTCCGAAGACAATATACGAAAAGTAGTCTTACAAAATAGTTGACAACGCATTATAATAAATATTTTTGGTTTAAAGTTGCGAATGAATCGATTTTTATTGTCAAAAACAAAAACTTTAATTAAAAAATAGCATAAAGTGAAATGGTAAAAATTAAAGCAAATAAACATAGATATATTTATGTATATAAAATAAATATTAATGATGGTTTAATATATAAAAATATATATATTAGAAATACGAAAAAAAAGTGTTTTTCTTAATTTATAAAAAGAATAGAACAGGAAAAGAAAAAAAATATATATATCGGTTTGTAAATGAAATTGTGTCTAGCCAAACCTATATTGCAAGCAACCAAGTCGAACTTGGAGGAATAAAAGTTTTTCGGTTTTATTGCAACATTCATAATCAGCATAAGATTACATGGCTTAATATGATCTTAATTGACCAATTGATGGACTTACAAGTGATAAATTATTTTTTCCTTTGTAAAGCCCTGCGTGGAACGCAAATATAATATTCTTGTTTTGAGTGTAAACATAAACGTGGAAAGATATGATATCATGACACCCATCTGGATTTTCTAATAGAACTTCCTGCTCTTCTTATTGAAAAAGAACGGAAGAGGGGGGCGGATTTCCTTTTTTAAAAATGTTCTTGCAAATTAAACCCAAAATATATGAACAATGGATGGATTTTTAAATTAAAAAAAATTTAAACTAAAATAAATTTCGACTAAAATAAAACCTATAGATAATACAAGTTACATCATGGATATGCTTTGTTCATTATTTTACAGCGTTTTTTGTCTGTTCAGTCCAGTCTGTGTTATATTGGCGTCTATTGTAAAAGCTATCATTCGCTATAGACATGCGATCACGTTTTAATGTTAAAATCAAGTCCAAAAAGTAATAAGAAAATTTGAAAAGAACAAGTCAGCGGCTGTTTATGCCTTAGAAAGTCTGAACCATAATTAAGTTTCATTGGGACATAAGCGTTCAGCATATTTTTATGTAATTCAGTCAATTGGCGAGTTAATGAAAGTGCTTGAAGCGTTGACTTACGTTGAAATGAATGATCCTTCACAAGGCAGATATTGCTCATAAAGCAATGATCTTTTAAGTTTCAAATTTCAACCAGAAGATAATCGCGCTTAGTTTTTTACGCACAAGATGTGGAATCAAGTTATCATGATCTTCGAAATGCTTTCGAGATATATTCAGTATACTAAGTGAAGTTAACGGAAAGATAGCATAAGAATAAGATTGAAGTTTAACAGTAATCAAGTACAAGAAAGTACATGCATAGGCTTTTGCAGTTATATGTGAAATATCAAGTTACTGCAAACAACATGTTTTTTTTGTCGTCATAAGACATTTAAAAAAATAATTATTACAAAGTATGAAAGATTGAAGTTTGTTTTCAAAGCTACGACTGCTGATGTGTTTTGTTAATATTTTTTCTTTTTAGTAAATTTATGACAATTTTTACTAAGAAATTTCAAAAATTTTTGTTAAATGAACGAAACCCGCAATCTATGAAAAAAGTGCTTCACAACAATAATGCTTTGTATAAATTTAAATTTTTATATTATATTATTAATTTTATTAAGTCAACAAATACAAGAATTGGGTAAGTAAATAATTAACAAAATCTTATTTACAATAGGTCAAAGTAAAAAAAAAATACATTTTTTATATCAATTTTTCGATCAAAGTCAATGATGACTTTTTCTAGATAGTAGAGTAAGTGTAATCTTACATAATATGCTTTCAATTTCTTATCTACAAATTTCATCCTTGACGACTAAATATGTAAATTTTACCTTTGAATTCCCATGAAATTAGTGTAGAAGGCTGGACTAAGAAAAAAGTGAACATTATCTATTCTCAAACGTAACATTTTAAACTAAAATATAAATACTGAAATATTTTTATTAATAAATTTCCATCAATAAATTTCTATAATCAACATTTTCTTATATAGGCGGCGAGTATCCAAGTTTCGCTTAAAGGCGAACAAATAAAATTTATAACTAAATCTGTCAACTTATTGAACGTATTCTACGTCAATAATACCAAAAGTAAACTTTAATGTCGAAGGAGATTTTTTTTTTTTTGTATCCATCATCGAAGGATGAGCGTACAGTCACTTTGTCCAAATCTTTGCAACGCCCAGAAGGAAGTATCAGTGACCCCACAAAGTATATGCATTCTTGATCAGCATTGAAATTAAATCGATCTAAGCATGTCTGTCTGTCCATCTGTCCGTATGCGTAAAGTCTGTTGCAAACGTTCTCCTGGGGCAGAAACAAGCCTTAAAAAACCCCACAATTAATATAAATTCTTGGCCAGTTTCAAATTTTGAAACGTACTTAAGCACTTCCGTCCGTTCGGCTGTCCATCTACCCAACTGCGTTCGCAAAAGTGATAATATTGCCTAAAAATTTGCAAAATAATTTGAGAGGGACGTAAACTTTTCAAGGGTCACGCCTACAACGCCCGCACGCCTATGCGGAAAAACCTTTTATTTTGAAAATAGATAAAATCAGCTGCGCCCACTCCTTATTATAGAGCGCGAAAAAATTTCCTTTCTTTGTTTTGTTTTTGTGGATAACGATGATGGGTGCAAAAGATTCGATCACAACAGAATATAATTTGCTTACTTGTTTTCTTTTCTTATGGGGGAATGAAAGCATAAAAGTGGAAGAGTTTGAATCAAATAATTGGATTCAGAGGCTGCTTAATTCTTGCAAAAATTTTCCTTTAATCAGAATGCTTGCGCTTCTTGCACATATATTTATTCCTTACGAAGCTTCAAGTTATACGACCTAAAGTCACATGCTAGCCCTGGAATTGTACGGGAGTAAAATCTCCTCCTACATCTCACGAACTAGTTTAGCTAGCGCATGTACGCATAACTCATAGACCACCATTTCTTTTCAAGTGGCACTGCAGATTGCCCTAAACTTTTTGTATAAAATGAATGTCTTCCTACCGTTAAAATTAGAAAAATTAACGATTACATCTTAAGAAGACTAAGCGCTGACGAAGTATTGAGATTTTTTCATTTTTTCTCCATCGCTTTCATAAAGCTTGTAAATGGGAAGAGCCATATTTCCTGAATGCGAATACTGAAGGCGTGACGTTTGTATCAAACAATACCTCACTGGGCATACAAATGCTGAACGTACGTGAAGAATTACCGATACCCTATAAACTAGTGGAAATTAATTACAAAGGTCGTAAGAATTTCATAAAATGCCTTTCCATGGTCTTTAAATATCTATTCTTTTTAATGCAGAATCAGTTGGGACTCCTACGTTAGGAGCTTTTGATATTGGCGATAACAGCTTGTTAGGGGCTCAATTAATTTCTGAAGAACAACGTTGGTAAGTGGAAAGAAAATTCTTCTCGAGAAAACTCGCATTAATCTTCTTCGCTTCTATTTTTCTCTTTTAGGTTTATTATCATAGGAAAACGTCAGGACTATGAAAATGTTCAGCAACAAATTTATTTCTTTCAAATATATATTAAAGACAGTAAAGAAATCGGTGAACAAAGCATTTTTATTACTTTAAAAAACATATTCGATAATCAACCTTTAATAAGCTATAAGCCGTCACCATGCAGAGCAGAGGTAAATTATGAAGAAATATTAACACTTGAGAGACAGCTGGTTAGAGAGGCTTTTTAATTTATAATCAAGATCTGTTTTTTTTTTTTTTGTGAATTTGAAAGAAGCTATTAGGTTGTCGTAAATTTGATAACGCTAACGCACATTCAATTGATTGCGTGCTCTTTAGGTACACTGTATATGAAATTTGTCTTGATATATATACATATCCAGACAGACTCATTTCCACATTACCCCACTAAGTCGGTTAACCGTCGTATCTGAATCGATTTAAGTTTGTCCGTCCGTCCATCTATCTAGTTTTTGAAATATTTCAATGGAATTCTGTATATCGACGTGCTATGCGCCAAGGAAGGAAATTTGGAATATTCAAAATTTTTCGACAAATCTCGCTATGTAATAATACTTTGGCCCATTGAACTGATATGAAAAATTTCAATGGGATGGGTCAATTTTTTTTATTGCCTCATTATTATTAATATTTTATGATGAAAATTGGTCCATAATAATAATTTGATATAAAAATTAACAATTCGTGTTTGGACTATATATGTCCAAGTTTGCATCTCATCCAATAACGAAAATATCGTGATATTATTTGACGCACAGATTTACGATTTCATAATTCATAAAGCAATTTCTCGTCAAATTTGAACCAAGTAGATAAATTTTTTCGATTCCATCCCATTTAAGAACCCCTATGTAAAGTAAACCATTCTATGGCGGTAAAGTCTCAATTTTAGCAACTAGTTAAAGAATAATAAGATTAGCTACAAGAAAATTAATTGCAAGCTTTGGGGCCTTTGGCGCGTAAGCGATTAAACGAGCTATATGAAGAAACGAAGAAGTCTGTTAGGCACAGAGGGGGAAGGGCACGGAATGGCCACTCTTGTTGACTATAACCTTCTTGCCCGCTTCATGAATTTTTGAGGGCCACTTTTCATTGATATATTGATATATTGACTACGCATACGAGGAAAGGAACCCATCGCGTTTCCACTCAAAAAAAAAAACAAAATTCGTGCCTTGAGAAACTTAATAACCTATTTGCTCGCTCTTTAATTTTCAAGGAACTGCAAGCAAACTATCAGACAAATTGCACGTTTACTGTCTATGATCCCGATGGCATGGTTAACAATAAAATACGTTTAAAAATTAATAACAATCAAGAGAAGTCGCTCTTCGAATTTGTACCTTACGGTGATATTGGTCCATATAGCAAGCAATATCAGTTGAAGTAATTTTCAAATATTTTAAAAACATCTTGAAATTTTGAATTAATTAAAACGTTCCCTATGAAAACAAAATTCTCCTAGAATTCTGAAAGCGTTACACTATGAGGAGAAAGCTTTTTATAATTTAGAAGTACACGCTTTTGATGCTCAGAACAACAGCGGCAATATTTACGCCATTTTAGAAGTCATCGATGTACCAAATCGCCCTCCCGTCTGGATGCGACCTCTAACCACCGCCACATTTAACGAGAAGGAGGAAAAGGTAAAATCTATGAAATTTTAAGATTAAAAAAAAAAAAAGAAAACACTGTTGAATTCTTTTATTTCCTTATTTTTTTTTTTTTTTCAAGTTTTTTAACTTACATGCTATAGACGGGGATACAGGCATCAATAAATCGATCTGTTATAAATTGGAATTCGAAAATGATTGTAAGAATTTTATTTATATAAATATGGAATATAAATATGTTTGACTGCCATTATAATAATTATTTTTCAGATTCCCAGTTTATTTCTATCAATCACTTTACGGGCCAGTTGCACGTCCTACCCATTGATCGCGATATTTTAAATCAAGAAATTTTTCATTTTTATGTAAGCTATTAACACAATACTATCTCTATTGTTCAAATTACTTACAACTTGCAAATTCTCTAAGTGCATTTGGCTACACACGTGCCTGACCGAGCTGAAATCGCTGAAATAGTTCCTATAAAAACTTGTGCTTTCTTGTATATGAGAATTACTCATCATTGCAAAACTTCATCAAAGCAATTTTCTTGATATTACACATATATATATTTCGTCCTTCGAAAAGAATTTTTCTAACGCCCTTTCTATAAGTAATCAGGTAACGCTACTTAAATTTTTCACTCGCCAACTATCTTTTTCGATGTCGCGACCATGTCTCCTCAATGAACATTATAAGGGCAGGAAAAATCATTAGGTGCAAAAACATGATCACATCATCACATGTCTCCTCAATGAACATTATAAGGGCAGGAAAACTCATTAGATGCGAAAATATGATCACATCGCAGCTATCGCAATATTCAATATTCAAGCGAAGAAGACAACTGACTAAATCGGAATAACGACACTAAACTGAGCTTGTGCTAATGGAATCATTTAAGAGCATCCTTCGATGATCGTCTACATCAATTCATCCTCGCAAGATACGTGAAAACCATATTCAGTCATTTCGCTTAAGATACTTTAAGCTCAAGGTTTTTCTAAATACCACTTGGCCTGAAATAAAACATGTCCTTGGAAAAGATTTTTGAAATTCTTCTTTTCGATAAAAAGGCATAAGTATTTTTAAGCAATATATAATAAAATAAGCTGGAAAGAATTGTGCATACCATTGGCACCATGAAAGCTTTCGAAACTACTTTCATAAAAGATTCATAAAATAAAGCGAATTTTCTTAAGCGCGATAAACTGCTACCAACGAACTCTGAATACAATAATTACTGTCTTTGAGTTTCCTTCAAATGTGAAATGTATACAGAAACACATAAACAAACAAAAAACAAATAGAAACATAATAGTCGCATAAGTACCCTACACCACATTGTCTAATACAATTCATACTTTTGTATGAAATTTTGGCTCAATTTTCACCACCAGATATTAAAACTTAGGCTTCAATTTTCGTGAAAATGCTTGTTAAGGTAGGATCCTAAAAATGGATCGGGATAGTACACAGTTAATTTTTTCATGTTAATTTGCTATTATAATACAATTTTCATCGTGAGGTATTGAAAATCTTACCTTTTTGTCGCATGAGCTTGAGTTTTCGTTATATGAGAGGGATTCAAATATTGCCTCAGCCGGTTCAAAGTTTTCATACCAATTTCGAAAGTGGAGTTACTACTACTTATGTTTTTCCATGTAGCGACTTTTCAAAATAGGTCGTTATGCGGAACATGGTCGAAAAAGTAGACCGGTCCTAACAATATTCAATAGCTTTCATCCGTGGGTCAAAACTCGTCCCTGTACCAAATTTCATCAAAATATCGCAAAAATTGCAACTTGTAGCTTTTGAAAAGAACTTTATATGGACAGACGGACCGACAGGCTTAGATCAATTCAGATTGGGATTCTAAATCGATGATCTATGATAAAAGGTGGATCTTTCTGCGTGTTACATACGTCCGCACGAATTTAATATGCCGTGTACCACAAGTGGTGTAGAGTATAACTCCAACAGCCGAAGCTATCATGGTTTAGAAAAAGAAGAGAAGCTTACCATTTGGCACGGCGGATCAACTGTCGTTAGTTCAAAAAAATTTAAGAAGAAGAGAAAGAGAAAATATTGAAATATATAACTTTTTTTGACATTTTTTAAAATTTTTTTTTTCATTTACTCTAGACTTGTGCGTACAAATGCGATAACTCCTCTTGGCTTATAAAAGATGAAACCATTTTAATTGTCCAAGATATAAACGATCATAAGCCCGAGATAGCATTGAGTCCGAAGCTAGTGAAAATACCGGAATCTAAATATTTGACTGTACCTCTGAACGAATTTTCCGTGCAAGACTTAGATTTGGTAAATTTTGAATAATACTAACAAATACATATTATTATGTGTCGCTACACCTAAAACCTAATAAAAACCTAATAAAAAAAGTTGAAAAAATTTTTTTAGGGTTCCAATGCAAGCTACACAATTTACTTGTCACAAGCCAATGTCGCGACTGATTATGCTAAAGCTTTTGCTCTAACGCCGGATAATGGCTATCAACGGACCAACTTCTCTTTGAATGTTGTTAATACGGAATTACTGGATTATGAAAATGAACAATGGAGAGAATTTGTTTTAAGAGTATGACAATAAAAAGGAACAGAGAGAGACGTACAAGTATATAGAAAAAAAATAAAAATATTTTTTTTAAATTTTACAGATAATCGCTCAAGAAATTGGAAACTTGTCTCATACAACCTTTGTTGAGCTTAAAATTGAACTCATCAATTGGAACGATGAGCGGCCAGTGTTTGAATTAGAGCTTTACGAAGTCTCTGTGGAAGAAACGATCACCAAAGGTGAAAACCTAATGCGATTACAAGCCTTTGACCGTGACATAGGGGATCAAATTAGGTAACCTTCGGATTTTTTTTTTTAGGGAATTTTTAAATCAACAATTTTCCAAATTTATTATTCAGATATTTTCTATTGGGTAATAATACCGCAGTAGCGATAGATCCTTTCACGGGCTTAATAAGTGTTAGTAACACGCAAGCCTTTGATTATGAACGCCAGTCGTTATTGTACTTTCAAGTACTTGCTCGAGATTCATTAATTACCGAATTCAATGAGACTTTGCATTACTCTTACGCGCAGCTATTGATACACATAGTGGATGTTAACGATGAGACGCCTATTATAAAAATGGTAAGAGATTGTAGAAGAATATCTTAAAAATATCTTTATATCTTAATACAAATATCATGGTATATATGTTCTAAACCTCGAATGTCAGTATGGATTGGTTAAAAATGATGAAGAAACATTTATTATTATATAACGTTGCAAAAGAATCTTACGAAATCATATATGGGCCAACTTGTTCGATGACCTTGCAAGCAACTCTCTAATCGTTTGTAAATTTTCGCGCTTGCTGAACAGAAGTTTGGCGCTTTGTTTTCCTATAATTCTCGTAGAAATTGACCTAACAAAATCGAGAATAGTTTACAAGGATCGGAAGAAGAGAGAAAAGTTTATTTAATTTTTGGTAAACGTATTCGCTCTATAGGGATTATTGCGATCTAAATTTAAACATTCGTTTGTGACGGTTATGACGATGATTTTTTTCGATTTAACCATATATGTCTTTGTATCTCTTCCTTCGTCTATTTCTTTATCTGCCTACTTAGGTACTGTGGCTAGATCTGCACCTGCCGTGCAGCCTTTATCAAATGAGTTCCCTAGAAGCTTTGGCTAGTTGAATTGGGCACGCCTCAGCGTTGCAAAACAATCCTGCAGGAAAGACGGCCTATTCCAAATACTGGGTACCGGAATGAAAGTTTAGATAAGATGCGAACGTTCCTCTCTGGGCAAGGCAAGACCTATCAAACACCTCTAATTATATAATGCCCCCGCATTTTGGGTATAACCCCGAAGGGTCGCACCCAACGGTCAGGCCTCGCACATTGTCTAACCTGCTGCGTTCAAAATGTGATTGGACGTATCGGCTTTCACCGAAGTTTCCAAACGGTATGCCAATGTGCTCGTGTCCCCCCGAAGAACCGTGACAAGTGCCAATCTGCAGTTCAACCAATGCTGTCATCTCTGCTCGCCTAAGCAGAGTACTCGTGACTTTGTGAGTGGGCAACCTGATCCCAATGGATTCCAATGTTCTTACTATACTTCAGAATTATCGGCATACGCGTGTGCATTTAGGATATTCCATACTTCCGGGCAACCCACCCTTACTACTGTTCCGTTTAGACTTATTGTATTAGGAGAAATAATTAACCCAGGAACGCCAAGCGTCCGTTTCACTACACCACTATCCAGCTTTCCTACAACCTACTGATTGTGCACTGGACCCCTTGACTTGCTGACTGCACTGGTGAGGAAGTCTGCACGCAGACGACCCCCTGCCACCTTTTGTTACATAAATATTTAGGCAATGATGATAGGCCATGTTTGAAAACGGGCGTTATTCGATGAATTCGATGAATTTTAGATTCAATTATAAGCGAAATGGATCTAGACATATTTAAAACAAGCTATCAAATATAAACTTTTCCCTTTATTTTTCATTGTTATCATATATTATTAATTTATTACTATATAATTGAACCATTTGCAGCCTCGTTTTATGGCCAATATTACCGAAAATTTCCCAAGTTCGACTTTAGTAGCAGAAGTGGAAGCTTTTGATCCGGATAGTACGGCAAATTTAAAATTCCAAATAAATTGGTCTTCATCGTATGCAACCAAACGAGGGCAGGAAGTACATCAAAACTTATTTAAAGGGTTCGTACATGAAAATTAATAAATATATTATGAGTTTCATTTAACAGCCTTAACCCTTTGCACTCCGAGTGTTTTTTTACTCAAAAGTGCGACAATTCCGTCACATTTTTGCGTTGGAGCATCTGAAAAATGAACTTCTGTTGTACTAAAACGAAAAAAAAAAAAACTATTTTTATAAATTTATTTATTTAATTAATTTAGTTTGTGATAAAAGAAACACAATTTGATATTTATATTTTGTAATTCAACTTAGGGTGATATTTGTGAAAACAATCTCCCATATGTATGCGGGGCTTATTTGGACAATATTCGGTTGTTTCCCCTCTTCCGGAATTACCTTTGCGCTTAGAACATACTATGCAGTCCTTTTTTGTACCTCTTCGCATTACATGAAGTTTTCCATTTAACCTGTCTTCGGAAATGCTGCTGTAACCTTTTTTTTCGTGCGTTCCGGAAACTGTCTATTATATCAATTTCATTATCACTTTCATTTTCACTGATCTCAAAACTTTCCCAATAATCTCCTTCTTGCATGTTTTCTCGAAGGGGTAAATCTATCTAATATAAAATAAAATTAAAAATTCGCTAGTCATTGAATGCAAACTACGCAATAGCGGCGCCGACAGAGTTAGTGCAATGAAAGCATATGGCGCAATGGCGGCGCGGCGCCTACGGAATGCAAAGTGTTAAATATCGTAGTATGCTGCCTCTATACTACTCGCGCTACAATGATTTATTAAGTTTGTGCGGATGTGTACAAGGTCCAAAGAGTTCGAGACGTGTTACGTGCGATTCAAGCTTACCTATCCATCTGTCTGCCCGTCTGTCCCTGTTATGTCTGCCCATGTATTCTTAGGTTAAATCAATTTTGGAATTAGTTTAGTGAATTTGTGGGCTGGAGGCGAAGTCTATAGAAAACGATTCGTATGCCCACTTTCCATATAATGCCTCGGTTTATGTCGCGTGGGATACTTAATGGTTATCCTTCGGCCACAGCAATGGTCTTACTTGCTATTATTATAAAGAGTCTTCTTAGTTGTCTTTCTCTGCTGAGTGCGTCTTCAGATATTAAATTAAACAAGTAGATAGCAAGCGATAGCTCTGTGGTGATTGTGGCTGATCAGGTTGATTACTTAAATGGCATTCTTTTCGTCCTTTTAATTTCAATTTTTCATGAAATGAACTTTGTCATCAATAATCTTCTCTGTTAACTAAGCAAATATGTTCGTATTGTTTAAGCTGCTCTTTTTAATGAAAATATAATGTCTAAGTAAGCGGATAAAGGCCAGGCGATCCATATTTCTACTATAAAAAACACACAGTGGCAAACGTCAAATATATGCAGTGAGGCGCGGAATTTTTCCCTCGTTGACAAAAAGTTACCGGGATAAACTAACGGGACTACTCCAGGCCTCTTTATATCCTTCGCCATTTATGTCCCTCACCTGAATAAAACTCCTAATGCCGTTTGACGTTTTAAATTAATTTCTTGTCATTGCTTAACTTATGTCCGTTAGTTAAAAAACATAATTCGAATAATAAAGAAAGGGGTATAATTATGTAAAAATTTAAAATTTAAATACCTATACTTAACTTAAATGACCGATCGTCATTGGTCATCGGACAGAACGGAAGGTCTTCTTTCAAAATAATCCTAATTCGGCACCTATAGCGTGCAATCCCAGCCGATGATAACTGATTTTATTTCGGATTGCGGTGTGTTACCTAGTCGACCGTTCGATCCAGAAGGAAGAGGATGTGCAATCCCTTTTTTCTCCACTATGCCTCTGTTCGAAATGGGATAGGCGTTGCTAATGGGTTAGTTGGTCACTTTCGAAATATGTCAGCTAACTTATTTCGAATATGGTATTCCCGTTCCAGACCATTCTTACCCTTTGATACTCACAAGAGAATAACAAACTGCTTGCTATAAAATACAAGTAAGAAAGTTATATTCGGCGGACGCCGAATCTTGCATACCCACCACTATGCCTTTCGCAGTCTATTCTCCAAGTTCTTCTATTTGATACCCTTATCGCTGCTATTATTAAAAAAAAATTTATCGCGGTGTCTACCGTAATCATTTTAAAATGAATCCATTTTTAGTTAGATAATAAATCTCCATTTGAATAGGGCACAAAATGGTTTTAATGTTTGCCTTATGATAGATCAGCATTAAACCTCAAAAAAGTGAAAAAAAATTAAATTTAATTACTCGTAAGTTTTTGTGGGCAGGGCCGATTGGTTACGTATTTCGACATAGAGAGTAAAATGTCTCATAAAGCAAATGAGGAAAGTTTCAGAGTTCGAACTTTAATAATTTCCGAATAACGCGCAAAAATCAGTTTACGCTCCACTGCTGCTTGCTTCTGCTCTGAGCAATTTGACCCATTTTCAATACCAGCCCCCTTACAAAAACTCTCAATGTTTCTACTAAATTTGAAGTCGATATCTTGATTTTTGCGATCAGGAGAGTGCCAACAACCCACACCACACAGACACATAGACGGACGTACGGACGGACATGGCTTAATCAACTCAGAATTTCACGCTGATTAAGAATATACATACTTCGTAGGGTCTCTGATGTTTCCTTCTGTTACAAATACTATGGGAAAAAAAAACAAGACGAGTATGCCACGAATCCTATAGGGGTGGGGATAAAAATGAGTGGAAAATAAAATATACTTATCTTACTTTGAGCACATAAGAGCAACCTATAACTATCTGTAGGATCAAAGCGAGTCCTGCACAAATAAAGTAGAAAGGAATCGAACATAGGAAATATCTATAATGGCGAACCAAATATATATAAAGAAATAGGAAAAATGGACAAAGAAAATAAAAAACGCGATCAAAAAGTAACGCCCAAAGAGTGAGATATTTTTATAAAATGCTTTCAAGATTTTCACAAGCATCACTTAAATATCGTTAAGAAGGCAGATTAAAAAAATAATTTCCTTAAGGGATTTTTAGGCAAATATTTATCCTTCCAATGCACTCCAAATGACATTTTTTTTTTTGCATTTTTTTTAAACTAATGCTTGTGATTTTATATATAACGCGGAATCTATCATAGGAAACATGAAGTTCTCCATGGTCCTATCAAATCTATTGTTATGAATGGCTATTTATTCAAATTTTGTATGTTTCTATTAGTTATATTGTATCCAGAATTATATATTATATGGAATAAAACTCATATCATCTCTCTCTCTCTCTCTCTTAGATGTTTTTCAATTCAGCCCGTAGCTGTTGGGAATAATTTGGTTTACGGCAATTTAAAGCTTAATAAAAATTTCATCCAAGCAGTAGATTATGAAAAATATGATACAATCTTTCTGTCCATCATGGTAAAGGATTTAAATCAGCAAATCAATGATGGCTCCGCAACTGGTAAGATCTCGAAATTATTGATACAAAAAAGACAAGTTTATAATTTATAAAACGTTTAAATGATTACCAAAAATTTTCTAGCATTGCTAACCATACGTGTCAATGATATCAATGATAATGCTCCAGAATTTGTAAGTGGAACTTTAAATATACAACGTACTGTTAAAGAACTTGAAAAGATAGGAAACGTAATCGGTAAGTCCAAGACGAATAAATGATGAACAAAGAAAAATGATCATCATTTATCATTCCCTTCGCAGGCTACGTTGTCCAAATAACAAAGATCCAATTTGAATAAGTTCTGATTCATCAGAAGATGCTACACAAGTCCATTCTGCAGATTATATTAGCGCGACTGCCATTGCTCAGATGAGTTTAGCTCACAATTAGTTCCTTCAAGTAATAGATTTTTCGAAAATGCCTGAACACATACGAACTGACTTAAGTCTGTGTGGGCATAAAAAAGCTTTCTTCTTAAAGTAGCTCAGTAGCGAGTAGCTTTAGTAATTTTATGAATCATTAACTGTCGCAAAATGTCTAAAAGAGGTAGAATCCGGCACACATCCAAGTTCACATCCAATGTCGGGCAACGTCGTAATAAAAAGTATTTTCTTGCAATCAATACTGAACGCTTTACCCGACAGCAGACAGTGAAGTTAACCCTTCAATCAAATGGAAACCTATGGCCTATGATTCACGGTTCCCTTCCAGTTTGACCACAAACAGAAAGTATTACGTGTCGTGGCGGTAATCCATACTTTGGCATCGTTTGTGCAGCTTCTTTCATTTTGAATGATGACCTGTGTAACCATTCAATTATCGTAAAGGAGCCACTTTCCACACAGTCTATAGGCAATCTTTTCAAAAAAGGCTCAATTTCCTTTCAGCAAAGATTGGTCCATTAAAGTTCGCAATGTGATAGACGAATATGAAGCTTTCTTTTGTATCACGTTTTACGCAAATAGTTCAAAATTGTTTTTTCGTTAATGCTTAGCTCCGCAGTAGTGCCAAGCATGCCCACCACAGTCATCACAAATTTTTGTCACAAAACTTTCGAAGCTTTGTCGCCCTAGTATAAAATGTGATGATTTTCTTTGGATATGTTACTCCTTTTCACTGAGTTAATTAATTTCAAAATATTTTTCCCTTAATTATCTTTGGACTAATACCTTTTGCATTTACTGTAGTACTAGTGAACTATTGTTCACGGTGTGCGATTGACTTTTGACATTATATATGTACACAGAGTTTTTTCTTTAAAATAATTCACAGGTAACATAGAAGCTTTCGACATAGATGGCCCTGATAATAATGATATTATCTTTGAGTTAAGGTAAAATCTAGAAATAGATAAAATTAAAATTAATTTGAAAAATTAAAAAAAACTGTAATTCTTCGCAGACCACTGACCAGCTTGCCGGCAACCGATTTGATAATTATAGAAAATACTACCGGTATTCTAAAAGTCAATGGAAAGATAGAATGCGATTTACCTAAGATATATGCTTTGGAGTTTGAAGTCACAGTATCTGATTCCAAGTATAAAACTAAAGGAAAAGTATTGCGAAACAATAAGAAAAGAAAAACATAGAAAATACTTAACAGGTTTCTTGCAGTTCCTTATCTCCATTATTGATGTCAATAATCGTAAGCCTATTGTGGACAAATTCCCGCAACAAGTGTTTATATATGAAAATGCTACCTCAGGCTTTTTATTGGGAGAAATTAAGGCACATGATGACGATAGAGATAGTATTAAAACAATAGTTTGTTTGACTCAATTAATTTTCAATATTAAAAGAATTCTCTCTTCTAGGCCCACATAATTTACTAACATACACAATCGGTGATTATACGCCAAATATATATAACATTTTTGAAATCGATACTCAGACTGGAAAAATTCGTCTAAAGTTACGTAATGGCTTTGTATTGGACCGCGATAGTGGCGTGACGTTTTATTATATACCGATTGATATACGAGATAACAGTTTCCATCAGAATACCGGTTATGAAGGTAAGCAAAATTGCGAAAATATTTAATCGTAATTACCATTGCTCTGTCAACGCTCTTTCAGTGATTAATCACGCAACGACTTTCTTGAATGTAACATTACTCGATGTTAACGATAATGCCCCACAAATGCCCGATAAGCTACAATTCTTACCCGAATTCTCTGAAGCCAATCCTAAAGTAACAAAAATGATTTCGTGTGCTTGAGATTTTTGAAAGATTTGAAAACAATTTTACTTTCTTTTTAGAATACAATATACAAAGCGGATTTTATAGCCATTGATCGGGACGAGCCAAATACGTTAAACAGTCGCATAACCTATAAATTACTTGAAATAAGACCAGGTTTTTAAATATTTTTTTTTTTTTTTGTAAAAGGTCCGAAGGCTTGGAGTACACTACTTTTGTCATTCATGTATATGTCGGCAAAGCGATATATACAAGAGAAAGAGGGAGAAAACATAATTTTTTTTTTTCACGCACTTGCAAATAAGGCCAAAAAATTAATAGATTGATTGAGGGCACTTTTTCTCGAGATTTTTCAACGGGTCAAATCATCTTGCGTTATAAGAGGCTATACAGAGCATATTTTAATTGCAAAACTTTGTATTCATACATCCACCGGATAAAGGGAGATTTTAGCTTGATATGCCCTGCCTTTCTTTACCTTAATTTGATCGCATTTTGGTTGTCGACCCGTAAAGTACAGGAATCAATTCTTCCATTACAATTTCTTTACTCCTTCACATGCTGATATATACTCAGCTTCCTTAGTCGGGAGAGCTACAATCTGTTATCCCATCGACGGCCAAGAATTTGGACTCTTTGCCAATAAAATCACTTAACCACTAGTTGAGTGCCTACTTTCCAAATCACCAACAAAATCTGAATCCGTGAAATAATCGAACGTGAACCTATCAGTTTTGCTATAGCATGTACCAAACTTAATTGTTGTTGTGTGTTGTTGTGTTTTAAAATCGGCTTTATCGACTATCAAGACTATCAAGAAAACGACTTAAATAACCCAAATAACGCAACATCCAGGTGTGTTCCCGTTGTGAAACACAAAAGTGAATTAACTACTTGTTGACCTGGAAACTTCATTTCTGATGATTGCACTGTACTACGGTTACGGATACTGTTGCATCAACCATATTAAATTTTTCCAATAATTTCCTCACGTATGCGCTTTGACTTCTCCTTATGCGACTCTCTTCGGCTATTATTTCCATGCCTAAGGAGTAAAGTGATATAATCGCGATCATGTAAACGCTTTCGTTCGTCTTCTGATTGTTGAGAGCCTTTCTTTCTCTAGTTTCCCTTGATATTCCAATTTGTCCAATCCTTTTATTTAATATAATAAATATTTTCACGTTATTCAAATATTTCTTCGTTGGACATTCGCGTATGTTAAAAAGTAATTTGAATAGCTTTTCATCATTTAGGATTGTCGGTCTTACTTCGATCTTCATAATAAGAATCTATGTATCTCGGTGTATGTTTGAAAATATTTTGGATAAAAGCTTGACACTCTGTCTGCATAAGATTCCATTCAAGATGATGATTACGGCCCAGCTTTATGGCATGACTTTATGACCGAAAGATGAAGATATCTATCGTAACTTATCGTAACTTCCCACTGCACACCTCTAGCAACAAGTTGCTAGAAAATGGAATTTCCAGTCAATTCGTGTCGTCACTTTTGAACCGTTGAATCAAAAGCCGAAAATTGGGACTCTCTGAACGTATTTGGTGGTTGGTCTTCGGCGACAAATTTTTTTGAATAAACAACAAAGGTAATGAATTTGGGAGAAGAAAAATTTGGAACGCTCCGTGACAGCGTCGACTTACGCCGGATGTTATTTTATGTAGAGGAAGGTCAAAACCATCAAACAATGGTATTTACCATTTCTTTATCATTTTCTCCCTGTAGAAGTTGCTGATCAAAACTCTTGCAAGCACTTAATATGTTCAAATTTGCACCAAAGAACGGTCGCAGAGTTCCTTAAAGCTGCATTACGAGAATGGTTTCCGTGTTAAAGTTTTTGAAATTTTTCAAAAAAAAACTTTTTTTTTCGAATACTACTTACTATTCTATTACTTTCCGTCCATCCCAAAAAAGTTGTCAAGGAAGTAGATTTTTTTCTTAAGCTGTTAAGCTGTGTCTTCCCCCCTTCAATCTTGTAGTTAGGTGTAGTTAATAGTCCCAATGCACTAATTTTTTACTCGCACTCACAAGATCTCCTCGAACTGGCGTACAAAGGGACACGGACATTTCCACAGTAAAGTTAGACGATTTTCGGCGGAGAAATAAATGAATGACAAAGTAGTTCAACTCCTCCCTTCTAAAAATATTTCCTAACAAGTAAATAACATGGAATTATAATTTTTTCAAGATGGTAATAATTCGTATGAACCTCTGAAGCCTTACGATGATTTATTCGCCGTAACTACTGTTCATGACCGTGTGGGGAAATTGTTAGTAAACAGATCTTTAAAAGGTTTTTATGGATTTTGGATAATTTTAATACAAGCTTCCGATCATGGTATACCTGAGCAAAAAAATATTTCATCTTATGAGGTATATGTTAGACCCTTTAACTTTCATATGCCTGTAATTCGATATCCAGTAGCGGGCAAAACATTAAGAATATGGTATCAAGTAACATAGTCTCAGAAATCGAGTGAATACAACTAAAAATTACAATCATTGCAGTCAGTCATTGCAAGAGGCTTATCGACCTTTATATCTGGCAGATTGTCAGCGGCGTTTAAATTTATTTGAAGCCTATGATCCCGACGGAAATAAATACGGTGACGTGACTTTCGATTTGGATAGTGATGGTAATATACTAATACTTTAATGATTTTTTTTTCCAATGGATTTTTTTACTATCTTTTTATGGCTCTTTTCTTACGTATGTAATTGTTGTTTACTTTCAGTCGGGGACGATAAGCATTTTCAAATGATAAAATTATCCCGTAATACAAGCGCTCTTCATGTTAAGAAAATTTTACCGGCTGGGAGCTATTCTGTAAGTTTATACCATTGATTTGCAAAGATTCACTATATCTGAAGAGGCTCAACGTCTTGTCCGTACTATGTCGCATTCTTGTTCTTAACAATCTCACTTCGTTACGGAACTAATGTTTCGCCGGCTGATCAAGGAACGCACATTTTCACTAATCATAATTCCCAGCAATTGACGATAACCGCTTTCCGCAAATTAGTATTATCTTCCTCTCGGCTACCGTCAAGGGCATGACTAATTTAAGACACTTAATTGACCTTGAAATAAGTTTAAGTTGAAAAATTTCATTTAGTCATAACTCGGGAATTTGAAATAAAGTTGTATAGACCGAAGCAAAGCAACAATTTCGATAAGAGGAGAATTATATAACCCCTTAAACTCATGCGGTTTACTATCGCTTATGAAGCAGGAGTCTTCATAAGAGCAACAACACAAAGGGGGTATTCTGAATTTCTGATATTGACAGCTTTCACAGAAATGCGTACTAGTGCATCAATAGTTCGATGATGATTTTTATTAATAATGCCTGGGTTCTTAGTTTTTCTTTGACTATATAGTGATAATAATATGTTTTTTTGTAGACGTCTGCGAAGACTGAGGCGAAAATACATTTCGATTTTGTCAAAACGTTTGCAACGCCCAGGAGGAAGCATCATTCTTGATCAGCATCAAATTCTAAATCGATTTAAACATGTCCGTCTGTCCGTCTGTGTGCGTGTTGTATACATTCACGTAGCCGCAAAAATGAAACTGTCGACGTCAAACTTGGCATAAGCATTGGAAGTTCTTGCACGCAGATTGGTCTTTAAAATAAGCAAAATCGCTCAAGAACGCATCCTTAGCACCAGATAAACTGGAGACACCTCTGTTTTCAAAAGAAATAGAAAATTGATTTTTTGCGCTTTACGTTTAGACTAAATCAGAAAAATGTACAAAAATTGGAATATCTATTCTATAAGCGATGCTATAGTACCTGCATAAAAATAGAAAAAATTGATCACTCCTGCCCAATATTGTAGTAAATATTAATATTCAATTTTTGTTTCAATACCTTTGCAAGGCTCAGAAATAAGCTTCAAAAACCCCATAAAGCATCGAAATTCGGATCCAGTTCCAAATTTGGAATGCACTTAAACCTATCCATCTGTCCGTCCATCCATTGTTTAGTACCTATGGTGAAAATTCCCTCTTTAACCACATAACCGCCTACAAATTTGGAAAAGAATTTGGAAGTGACTTAAACTTTCCCATGCCTACAATGCCCCCACGTCTACGCCACAAAAACTTTTATTTGGAAAATAGAAAATATCTGCCGTGCCCACCCCATATTAGAGGGCATGAAAATTTAGTTCTCTCATCCTCTTATTCATATTAGTCGCTTCCTTGGAACAAAGTATATAAGACACTCTTCTTCTATCTGTCTATCTATCTATCTCCCTCTCTCTCTCTCTCTCTCTCTCTCTCTCTCTCTCTCTTTCCGTCTCTCTCTCTCTCTTTCCGTCTCTCTCTCTCTCTCCCTCTCTCTCTCTTTTCTATTTATATTCTTCCTTCCTTTCTCTTACTATATTCTTTTTTCTTCTTTATCAGAAGGGCCTAATCTATAGTTGTTTGCAGTTCATTTTTTTTGAAGCGTACATATCTATAGTAAGTCATAGCTTTGCTTTGTTTCCCCAATTTAGATCAATTTACGAGCTATAGATGGCGGTGGAAGCAGTTCCCAAGAAATACGCCAGTTGAAGCTTGTTTTTGTGGATGTGCTTGGAAGTGGCATGTTTTTGGAGAAAGTCTTTCAAATTAATTTTACTGGTAACGGAATTAAAGTCAAAATTTATTTATTATAATTTTAAGGAAGATGGATCTGTTTAGAAAATGAAGCAGGCTTGCAAGAGAAACGTTACGTGCCAGAGGCCTACGATCCCAAAAATGAAGGCTTGGAGACGAATGATGATGGTCTTTATAAATTATATTATTTCATAGATGGTAAGTGGGAAAAAAACAATATTTTTATTTACAATTGGATCATATGCAGGAAGCTCCAACCAGCATAATAGCAAAGCGAAAAAAGACTGCTTCGAACTTTCTGCCTGACTTGTTATGTACACGTTAGTTTTGAAATAATAAGACGGGTTTTCATATGTTTCGATCAATACGATTTGAATTTCACAGCAAAGAAGAAATTCACCTTTTTTTGTAGAGATCAATTTTCGACTATTACGCAGAAGAAATGATATGCCTCGCCACTCCTTATCTTTAATATTTTTCCTCTTTTTTTTTTTCTCTTAAAAGTTGCCTTCGAGCAAATGAGATAAATTTGGTTTCCTTGAAACTGATCGACTCAAAACTTCCGCTAGGCTTGGTTTAAACGTTTCCATTAATCCACCATGTTACTGGTGCACTAATATATAAATAGTTGATACAAAGCAGAATATTTTAATTATATCTATCTATACGTATATATATATATATATATACAGATATACATATATATATATATATACAACTATATATAACCATATAGCTCTTACAAAGCAGAAATTATGGACTTTATGCATATATATATATATATATATGTTCATCATCTTTATCAGTTCGAAGTCCACTGAGTCCAAGTTATATTTTCATAATTCGTTGTTTTTTTCGGACAGCTTTCGTCACTAATTGAGCGGGTGTTATAAATGACGAACAACTTTTTATTAATATTTATTATTATTACTTGTCTATCTACAGATTCCATTTACCCCAATGATACTCGTCGGTTTAAATTAAATCCAAAGACGAGAGAACTTACTTTAAAATCTGCTTTAGACCGGGAACATCAGAGTGAGCATAGACTACGCATAAAAGTAACAAATAATCCTCAAGGAAGAATAACGAATCACCTAAGGGGTAATTATACCTTAGAAGTCATTATAAAAGTAAGACAATTTCTATGTACTCTCGTTAAAAGATCGTTTATAATCTTTATAAACTCCATAGGTTAACGATGTCAATGATAATTCGCCAAAATTCTCTCAGCAACTCTACGCAGCTGGTCTAACTAACAAAGATTCTTTGGGGAAACTTGTATTGCAATTCCAAGCAACTGACGCAGATTCAGATGATCAAATAATATTCGAAATTATCGAAGATTCTTATGAACGGAATGGAGAATTTATTCCAGGCAATCTAACGGATTTCTTAATCTTAGATAAGAATAATGGAAGTTTAAATTTATTAACGTACGTCAACAATAATATGAAAGGGTATTTGGAATTTCAAATAAAAGCGTTAGATCGGTTGCGACACTACGATACCGCCCAAGTAAAGATTTATATAGTTTCCGAGAAAAATCGTGTAAAATTTGTATTCCTAAGCGATATCGAAAAGATAAGAGACAATCAACAATATGTAAGCATACTATGAATGAAACTTGATATCGACTCTTTTTATACCCTACACAACTTGTGAGACAGGGTATATTAAGTTTGCGGCTGTGTCCAAAAGAGCTTAAGATAGACCCATTTTTTTTAGTATACGGATCGATTCAGAATTATAATCTGAATTGATCTAAGCCTGTCTGTCCCTCTGACGTCTGTCCATGTGAATTTGTGATCAAGCTACAGATTGGAATTTTGGGGATATTTTGATGAAATTTGGTACAGTGACGTGCTTTGATCCAAGGACGAACGCTATTGAAAATGCCTTGGATCCGTCCACTTTTTCGCCCACTCGCCATATAATGCTCTATTCTGAAAAGGCGTTATATGGAAAAAAATTCCAATTTTCAGAATTTTTCACCAAAAGTGACTAAGCGGTTTGCACCGATTGAGACAATTTTTGAACCCCTCTCATATAAAGCAAACTGAAGTTTATGCGACAAAAACCTACAATTTTCAATGCATGAAAAATTTGGACCATCTCGGCCTATTCTTTTGATCCAAGCCCAATAAGGATTTTCACGAAAATTGATCCTTTGTATACCATAAATGTCTAAATTTTAATATGTGGTGACCGATAATGTTAAAGTAATTTCATACAAAAATAAACTCTACAAAATTTGGACCATTTACACCTATTTTCGGATCTTGCCCTATGTAAGGATTAAGCTTGTGCCAAGTTAGGTTGCGTTTAGGGTTCGCTTCCCTATAAATATGCCAAGACATAATTTTAGTTTTCTGTAATAAAAATAAGAAGTATGCCAGACAATGTGGTGTAGGGTATTAAATGCTCTTGCTTGTTTTCTTATTTAACTTCTTTCCCTTCTACATTCTTCTGTATTCCCGCTTTCTAGTTACGCGAACAATTTCAATTGATTTATGGTTATGACATATGCAATATCGATGCTATTGAAGATATCACAAGCTTAGAAGCTAATAAATTTACGATTCATCCATCCGCAAATCATACCCAGGCGTTCATTACCGAAATCACAGTGCACTTTATACATGATAATGAGGCTGTGAATGCTCAAGAAATAGAAAGGCGTGCCAATGATTTATCCTTTTTATCACAATTGCAAAATTCTTTACAACAACAAAATTTAATATTAAATAATATACCACATGAGGAGTCGATAACAATGTCAAGCTTCTTATTTGATCAGCCATTGACATTTGGCTTAATTATCTGCAATATATTGCTCGGACTGGTAAGCGTTGTAGTGACGACTTTGCATTTAAGGAAAATTAAATTTTTGAAAAGAGAATTAAAGGCGTTTGAAACGACCGCGTATGGCTCGATACCATCGAATTTAAATCGTCTGCAAATGGGACCAGCTATTAATTTACCTTCAGTTGAGGGTACAAATCCAGTATTGAGTGAGCAAGCGAAATATCAAATTTCACCATTGGATCGGCATGAAATTATGTAAAATGTAAAGAAAACATTTTGTGAATTAATTCTAAAAACAATTTCGTTTTTCAGTCCTGCTGAGGAATCCGATGACGAGGGAGATAAAGATGAACTAGACGATTTGCACGATGATTCTACATTCTCTATGGAATTTAGCGACGAGAATAGTCCGCAACAAGGAAATCAAGTTCTTAATAACATTTTCACTAATTACATAGAAACCCGATTCCAAAATCCCGACTTTGAAAATTTGAAAACTGGTTAAATAAAAAAATTATATATATATATATATAATAAATAATCAAAGAATTATTTATAAAAAAAGAATAATTTTTAGTTTTTCTGTTTTAAAGTCCTGATATATCTTTCCGTGGTTAACGCGAAATACACTTTCTTTTTTTTCTTTCGCTAACAAGTACAATGTTTTCATCAGATATAACATTTTTAAAATGTAGTTTGAAATTTATAAAGTTTCCGTGCTGTACGCAGTTGCCCATTGCTTATTAAATTTGTACCAGATACGTAGGAAACTTTGCAGTTTTTAGTGAAATCTATAAATTTCCTATAGCTCGTGTTTGCTTGTTCGAATCGATTCAACTGATTCAACAATGAAGGCTTTACGTCTGTAGAGTTCGGCTGATAAGTATTAAATCGTTTGTCAATCACTAAATTCTAGATCACTTGATCGAATGTGGATTCGCAATTATAAGGTTTATTTACCCTAACCTGGACAGGAAGTCTTTTCTTTAATCCGCTCACTTGGGTATTCTAATGGCACAACTTGCTCGACATCTTATCTGAAATTTAGTTGATTCTATATTGAAAAGCCTTTTGTTTTTTGAATGCTGTAATGATCACTAGCCATAAGTAATTTAAAATGCAAGCCATAAGAAGCTTAAAAAAAAAATTTAAAAAAGGAAAAAAATTTATTTACTTACAATGAAGATCCGTCGATTTCGGCAATATACCCGCATTAATGTTGTCCTTTACAACTCCGTTTACTTTATTAAATCGATTTTCGAATTTGTGAAGCTTTACGGGGCGTTACGTAAAATCGACACGAATCAAATGCCATTGCTTCCTTAATTTGTCGCTTGTTTTAGTAAAAACAACAAAGAGTGTAAAGAAAAAGTACGTAACATTTTTATTATTAAAACAAAAAAAAGAAAGAAATGATAAAATTTTAATATTAATTACAAATGTTCGCATTTCAAATCAATGTCTGTTTTACTTTATAATTAAACATTTTTGGGTTCTTTTAGAAGTGTTTTCGCAACCCTGCAGCACGGACAATAAAATCCTGGAAGGTATCGCAATTTTTAATTCGAGATTAAAAACTTTGTTGAGTTGTATTATATAAATATGTGAATATATGCATATATATATATATACATATATGTGCGAATGCGTAGATATATATATGTATGAATATATATATATATATATATATGCACATTAATATAAAGCTGCTGCAGTATACAAATAGTTTGGCAAATTTACGCCTTTACGGAGCCGAATGTTTAAACCGAACTTATTTTTACTGACATATAAATATTGGAAGAGACTAAATTTATTACTAGCTATTATCATTGCCATAATTCTATAAAATATTGCAATTATTAACAATGCGTACAAGTGCAGGATAGGTATACTGAGCGCAAGTTAGAATTAAACAGTAATCGTTGAAAATTAAGATTAAAGTCGCATTATAATATTATAATACTAAGTATGTCTATAAATAATAAATAGCAAATCAGTACATATTGATTTATTTTTGAAATCTTGTCCAAATTTAATTTTATCGGACAATACATTCGTATTCTACTCTTCAAGTTCTTTTATTTGATACTCATATCGCTGATATTATTAAGAAGAAAGTGATCGCGTTATCTACCATATTCATTTTGAAACTTTCAATTGAAGTTGATATCATCATTTTTGCGACCAGCAGCACACAGGACACACCACACAGACAGACAGACAGACAGACATGGCTAAACAAGAATATATATACTTTATAGGATCTCTGAAGCTTCGTTTTGGGTGTTACATACATCATAGACTTTCCGAATTCGATGTAAAGGGACTGTACGAGGAAAAAAAAATGGAATGAAGCCTTGAGTTCTCTTCGGAAAGTTTACTCGCAATGAATTTATAAGCGGGTCATAATATAATCGTAATACTATGTTTGCTGAGGCAAATTAATTAACATTAATAATGGGGTAAATTAACATTTGTATAAAGTAAATTAACATATATATATATATATATATTTAATAAAACTACGATAGTCCTTATTCAGGAAGCTAAACTACAACAAAGTTAAAGCTATATTAAATTCTGCAATTGGAAGCAATCGAAAATTTCTTTCTACCGCAGAATGTTTCTGTAAAATATCGCTCCCGAATGGCTAGTAAATTAGAAGAAGAATATTATTCAAAAATTTGTGTAAAAACGCAGAAAAACGCAGTCAAAGGCACTTCAACAATGCACGCATATCCGTATGCGCACATAACTTTTTCTTTATAAAAGGAAATGCAAACAAAAAATTCGAATAACAATGGAAAATAAAAATCACGACTTCCTAATTAGAATGTTTGCTTAATATTCGTAAAGCAGCTTTGGCAGCTGCCTTTTTAGCTTGTTTGGCATTGCTGCCGAAACCATTTGCTTCCATCGATTTATCAAGGCAATTGAACAAACATTTGATCATCACAATATCATTATCTTGCATGGGCTTACTGAATTTGGCATCTGCCCCCTTGTTTTCCGTTAACTGACGCACCGGATCAATTGGAAGTTTGTTAGAGAACTCGATAAATTCATTTTCAAGCAGACCGTAAATAACGCGCCAAGTCGTTTGTAAATCTCGACTATCCAAATAGACTGCTGCTATTAAGGCCTCTACCACATCTCCCAAAGCTTTTGGTACATCCACATTAGCTGCAATATTATAACTTCCCTTGATATTATTTTCATCGTGGCTTGTGTTTGCTTCATTCGATTCATCTCGATCACACAAATCATCTTCATCATCATCGTCACTATCGTCTTCAAAATCACTTTCGGCTGTTCTATATTCTTCCATTAGAATGCGTACCTGGTCAGTTACACGTTGTTGTTGCTTTTCTTGAAAGTCTGCAAATGTCTTAACGGCCTCAGAAAGGGCTGAATTTTCATATAACATAAACAGATGGAAGCGGTGACGTACACAAATGCAGCCCAGGGTTATGTTATTTACCAGAGCCATCCGCATGTCTGTCATCATTCCGGGAGTCATACTCTGATATCGCTCAAATATGTAACAAGTTACCAGCATATCAAGTATGGCGTCGCCTATAAATTCTAATTCTTGATAGCAACCAGTTAAACGGTTCGTCGGAAAGGATGGATGCGTAATGGCCTGCAAAAGATAGGCGCGATCGCGAAACTTGTAATTCAAATTTCGTTCCAATTTATCGCAATTGATGAGGAAACCCTCAACTTCTCGCTTCGAAGTATTCGCCCGTAGCTGTGTGCTATCCAATTGCAAGTCCAGCAAATTATGTAGGCGTATATCTGAATCGGGTTTAACGATACCAAAATATTCTAACATTCGGAACGTTCGATGGATACCATAATTTTTTACGCAAACGCCCAACAATGCTTCCAAAGTGTCCGCAACAACTTTGTCACGCAACGCTTCCTTATACACATATGGATTCATGTCGCTATCAACACTTAAACCAACATAATCAGGATGAACGTCTTTGGATCTATTACAAGCCGCCGTGAATTGGGCTAATTTCTCTGGACAGCAAACGCCACTAATAATTTCTTCCTTGGAAAGTTGCAATGAATAGAAATTCCTTGCGGTTAGATTGGACAGTATCAGTTCCTTCGTTTCAAAAAGTTTCAGAAGATTACCGGGTATGGCTGCCAAGGGGGGAAGCCAAGATACCGAAGGTGAAAAGGGACTCGCACATATTTTTTGGCAAATATCCATTTCCAACATACAATACAAGAGATTACGATTAGATACCATGCGACCTTTAATCGTTGTCAAGAAGCCTTCGTGCCACTTCGGATATTTATTAGCCAAAAACAAAGAAGCAGAGAATTTTAAGAAGGCATCGCCTAACAATTCATAACGCTCCATGTCGAAAACGTCATTAACAGAAGCGGTGGTGATAGCAGCGAGCAGTTCATATTGCTCAGCCGATTTCAACGTGCAGTTGCTTTCCAAGCTGCGTTTCAATATATCTAAATGATATTTATCATATGGGTGTTTACCTTCTATTGGCAAAGGAGCGCGCTGAGAGTCAGTAACTCGTGTAGCATTCGGCAATGGTGGTTTAACAACATCCAATTGGGATCGAGTAAAAAATGACTCGTCTTCCAAGTGAAGATTTTCAATATCTGCTACTAAACCATTTATAAATTTGTGATAATATTCGATCTCAACAGGAAATACATCGGTCATATTGCGAGTGTAATCAATGGGCTCCATATACTCCTTCCATGTCACCTCCATATTATCTAAACTGTGAATTTGAAGCGTGTCCGTGTGAGCTTTACGAGTTAACGAAGATGGGAACTTTTTCGGTTTGCGATATTCTTCCTCCTTGATAGCGTTCCCGTCTGTATCGACAGCTCGTTTCAGTGAACTGTCGACAATCAAAGGATGTGGCAAATAGGTGCTGAATTCAATTCCTAAACCTAAAAATCGGTTTATGCTTAGCCGCAGACTATCAGCATGCAGCATATAGTAAACCCGATGCAATATAGTGGGCAGGAACAATGCTTTCAACCACAAGTGTCCAGGATACTGGAAGTTGTGACACAATTCTGGTAATAAAAGTATGTTATTACGATCTCTCTTGATTTCCGTCGATTTTCCCAAAGCGTTTATGAAAAAATTTCTACGTTTCGTTAAAGCTTTTACCTCTAGCAGAAACTGGCTGCAATCTACCACATTGATATTATATCGTGCTCGATAAAATTCCACATAATTTTTGAATTGATTATTGTCGAAATCACTTAAAGGATTCAAGTCCTGACGTATCTTAACAACAACAAATTGTTCGTCCTCATTTTTATTATACCATTTAGTTACGACCTTATCAAGGAAATTCTCCGGACGGTATACATTCTGTTTGCGCTCTATCACAGAATAAGATCTTGCTGGATCTAAGCTTTGGAAGCTTTCTATTAATTGCCAATCAATTGATTGAGAAGAATCCAAAGGCACTATTAAATATGAATTTTCCAAATTGCGACGATCAATGACCAGAAAATCTTTCCAAAGTTGAAGCAAATCTTTGAAAATCATTGTATGAAAATTTATTAACGTATTGAGCTGTTGATTTGTTTGCACTACAAATTCTCTCGGGTGATTAGAAATGCGAACGCGTATTTTGCCCTGTGACATAAATAATGGCATTTCCGCTAATAATGGCAACTTTTTCGAAAGCAATAATGCATAAGTGGACTTATTATTAAGATATTTTACAACGTGAGCGTTGTATGGATTTACATCGAAATCGGTGAAAAACTGTATTGCGTACGCATATGATTTCTGCCCAAGTTGCGGCAGAGCTCCGTGCAATTCTTCAGGGCATTGACGTTCATACAAGCGGTGATGACTCTTCCCAACAAGTCGAAGAGTAACTGAAATCATAAATGTTCTCAAATTCATTTAGGCGATCGAAATTTACTTACCATCGTCATTGTGCTTTTTCCAATTTTTAAACAATTCCTCAGATACCTTCGCTATGCACTCTGTTTTACTAACGGGTAGGAGAAAGTTATTCAGTTCACCTTCTTCATACAGTTTAACGCATGCTTTAAAAGCCGCTGAAATTTTCGCACCTTTCCAGTTGGGCATATAATCACCCTGTTGAAATATACAAATCAATTAAATAACCAGTCATTTATTCCACATACAAAATCTGTGGAACCTACTATTATGGTTTGTTTGATCGTCGATTGTAAAGGTAAAGTTAAGGAAACGGCACAAGCGCCAGTAGAACTTTCAGGTAATTTAGCAAATAACGGCATTACGCAACCGAAACTATCCCACGGTAAACTTTGACAGTAACGATATAGTAACACTAGAGCGGATGTAGCCAATAAACGTGCACCACTAGGTATCTCAAAAGGCGTTATTGGCTCCACGAATTGCTTATCTACATCGTCCTGATTAGGATCATCACAGTGCAGCAGACGTGTGGAGAGGAATTGCTTAATTTCCTCATGGGTTTCTTTGTACGAACGTATTTGGGCGACCACTTTTTCCTTACTGAGATTTTCACAAAATATGGTATAAAAAGACTGTTTACTGCGCGCTCGGCCCTTAGTTTGTATATAAGAATTGAAGGTCTTCAATTCGTCCAGGACAAATACATAGTTACAAGCTTGCACATCAATGCCTTCTTCTAAAACGTTAGAACATACAATCAAATTGCACTCTTTAGTACGAAATTGATCCATGGCCTACGGAGAAATATTACTAATTTAAAGCATAATTAATAAAATATGTTAGTAAAGTTCTCTTACCGACTTATTCCATTTTGAATCCAGAATACTCTCAATACTATGCAATATACTCTGTCGACCTACCAAAAATTGCGGCCTAATGATATCTTTTAGTTCGGGGGTTTGTTTTAAATAGTTCACAAGTACGTAAAACACACATTTAGCCGTGTATCTTCGCTCTACAAATACCAAACAGTTAATATCCTCAGCGTTTTTGTCTGCAAACATATTTTTTAAAGTTAAAAGAAAGGCTCTCAGTTTCGGTGAACTGTAATTGTAAATGACGCCCGGCGTATTGCATTTGCTACCATCGATGCGTTCATCGTTTTCTTCGTCCACAAATGATAACAATTCTTTAACCAATATGTGCCGGATATTTTCACAGTGGGTGATCACCAAGCGATAGAGATTTCGTAAGGCAGTAGTTTCTGATTGACGTTTTTTCACCTCAAATTCAATAATTATCGACATGATAGCCAATGATGCTGTATACAAGCCGAAGTCCTTCATTTGATACTTGAAGTCGTCTAGAAGATTTTTAATAAATTTTTTTTTATTTGGTTCTTGCGTTTTCGCCAAGCTTTTGGTAAGCTTAAGACGCACATTTCCAATATCAAAACGATCTATAGCATCCTTGCAATCTTGAATAATGCTTTGGATGTTACCTTCAATTCTAAAGGAAGGCGTATGCGAAGTATATGCAATAAGTCGTTCATTAGGTTTCGTGGAATAGCTGCGCATTAAGAGAAAATACAATTTTTAATGTAAACGTTTCACAAATCTGTACTTGTCTATATTCTGAGAAGCGACATAGATAGATATCACAAGCCCGAAATCATTGCTCTCAATCATCAATTATACTTACACCATTACATTATTAAATTCTTCTTTGCTGCTGATGGTGACTATCTTGCCCCGAAAGGTTGCTTCTAAGTCATTCAATGCTTTCTGAATGCTTTTAAATTTATTTCCTTTTATTAAAACGCCTGTTAATCCGATAACTCGCGGCTGTTGCGATTGATCAACGTATTGGAAAAGACTTAAAAAAGTGTGCATAGGATGATTCTTAGTTGCATGATGGCACTCGTCAATTATAACGACACTAATATCAGTTAGTTTAATTACGTTTTGATTGACAATGTCCACGAAAATTTGGGCTGTACCCACAAGCACCTGCAAAGCCAGCATCAACGTAAAAAGCGAAAAATGTAAACTTGACTTTCTTTACGGGTTACCTGGTTTTCAGTTATTTCTTCAGACCATTTTTTATGAGACCAATTGTCGACGTCCCTTTCGCCAATGTAGAGCCCAACCTTGAAATTGGTGCACTTTCGTACTTCAAGGCATTGTTGGCGAGCGAGTTCAACGGTATTGCACATAAATATAGCACGTTTTCCTCCTTCCCGAATGGGGCTGAAAACGTAAATTGTTACCAAAGCTAAACCATTTTTGCTTTTTTTTAGTTTATTACTTACTTTTGCAAACTCGCCGATAAACGTTTTAAAGCTAAAATAGCTACAAATGTTTTGCCAGCGCCAGTCGGTAAATATATGATGCCGTTTCGTTGGCAAACATAATCAACCAATTCCAACTGATATGAACGTGCTTTCATCTTTTTATAAAAAAACAACAAAATTAATTGATTTGATTCTATTAAGTTTTCTATTTAATTTAAAATTGTATGAAGAATGATAGCTTACAACTTTTTCTTTTGTTTTTTCCATTATCTTTATTTTAATTTTTTTCTTTCTCAATACCACTTTTTATATATGTTTTAATCCAGAGAATATTCTTCTTATAAATGAACTCCGAAAATTTGAAATAGTAAAACCCGATTCGTTTGTTATATTACTTTACAGATAGAATATTCTAGTTGACGTGGTTTACGATAATTGCTTGATAAAAAGTCTAGGGGAAAAACTTACTTATTGCCACAAAATCATATGGTAAGAAAAGAAGATAACAACTTACTTATTAACATTTTCGACGTTGGAACGAACGTTTCTAGCTGAAAACTTGGCGAACCTTATTATAGTTTTCATTAAATTTTGGAATTCAACTTGATTAAGCTCGGTAGAATTCTCCTAAACTTTTCGATTGCTCTTCAAATGCGGCTGTGGATACTTAATTTTTTATCCAAGCGTGTGTTGGTGATGGGTACCGAAAAAGTTGAAATATGCGGTGGTATCCCACAAGGCAGTTGTTTAAGCCCCATACTCTTCAATTTATACGCAGCTTCTTTGCATGATCTTCAAGATGACAAAACTCACATTTTTCAATATGCAGACGATTTCCTAATCGTATCTGCTGACTAATCTTTTCCAGCAGCTGTCAATAACCTCTCGATGAAAGCGAACTTGTTTTTCGATGCATGCGCTGATCTTAATTTATATTTGAACCCCTAGCAAGACAAACACTATTTATTTTGCCAAAGGTTCTAAACGTGAAATCAGACTTCTTACCAAAGGTAAATCAAGTAAAATCTCTTCGATTTCTTGGGAGAATTTTAAATGACAGCTTAACCGTTCGTGGGCATTATGAAAAGGCGTTCAAAGATTGTCAGTCTGGATGCAACATCATCAAACTCATGACAAACAATCAGGCAGGCTTGCCTCCCAAAAATGCTTTGACCGTTTACAAATCTCTAGTCAAGTCCAAAATTGAATTTGGATATTCCACATGTTGCAATTTCCCAAAATATATTGAAAAACGTATACAAGCATTTGAAAACCGAATGTTGAAGCGTTGTACTGGACTGACCCCCTCAACTCCTTAACATATTCTCAATGTTATATCTGGTGAATGGCCAGTTTCCGAAAGAGCCCTTTTTTGCACTGCCAAGTAGTTAATTAAAGTCAAGATGATAAATACTTCCTTTTTTCAAGGGTGTGAAGTTATATTTAAATATAACTACCAAAGACACAAACCAAAATTTTTTACAGAGCTCTGTAAAGCCGTTAACAGAGTTCTGTTAAACGAAGTCTCGGAGGGATTTAACTCAAAATACAAGTAAAATAGAACTTTTCGCAAATTTTTTTGCAAATTCTTATAAACAAAACATGACTTTATGTAAATTAACTAATATTCGAAACCAAAACTTTTTTACACTATGCCATAAATGAGGTTGATAAAGCGAAAGTTTACGGAGCTACTGTGACCAAACCATGTGTGTGCGGGTTGTATTAAGTTTTGCCCCAAAAATTTTTTTATGGGACTTTGAAAATTTCCATAGGCTAACATATAAGCAAACTTTAAAAGACCACTGTGGGCAAACCATGCCCTTTGAAAAAATGAAACTAGGACAGAATTAATCCGCTATTAATAGGCGAAGAGAAAAAAACGTATATAATAACATACTGCTGTTTATTGTTTGTGGTTACTGTTCCTAAAATATATGTATTATAATAGCAAGCAAAATCAAACGAACGGACATTTGTTCGTCTCTGTAATGTTTGCAATGTTGCTATTTCCGATGGTATCAGACGTTTTGTTATTTTTTCCGACAGCAGGTCAACTCTACTTCTATTATTATTATTATTTTAATTTTAGACTAATGAAATGAATTCTTAGAGTAAAAAAAAGACATTGAGCACTAGCAACACAGGCTATCGGCTCTAATTTAAATAAATGGATATTAGATAGTGAACTTAGTAGTATTAAAAAAGTAATATATTGAATTGATATTCTGTTCTGAAGCTGATTGTAGAATGTTCAAAGGGTTAATCGTTCCAAATGCAATACTTCTAGCCGAGGAAAAGTTGAGGCAATCGCAGAGAATGTGCTTTATAGTAAGAGTTTGTCCACAACAGCAGATTGGGGGAGAAGACTTCTTCAGGATCCATTGGTGAGTTGCAATTGTATGACCAAGGCGAATTCTCGAGAATGTTTGGATCTTGGTTTTCTCAACGTTTGTTGGATATAAAGGTGGAGTTAATTGAGGGTTAATAAAAGAGTAGTGTTGATGATGGTGTTGTAAATTTCCTTCTGTAATTTTCTCTTTAACTTTTCTTCCAATGTAACTTTGAAGATCCAACTTTTCCATGACATCATCCATAATTAGAGGAGCAGAAGCAGCATACTTTGCCGCTAAATCCGCCTGCTCATCTCCCAGTAAACCGATGTGACTTGGTACCCATAACATTTTAATTTTTCCGTCGGGTGTAGTAATTATATTCCTTAATTTGTTGATGGTGCTCCATCTCGAAGTCGAAGGATTCCGAACAGCTTGTAATACAGACAAACTGTCGGTAACAATAGCGGTTTTGAGTTTGTTTTTATGGGCAAGGTTGGCAGCGTAAAGGATAGCTCTGGCTTCCGTTGTGAAAGTTGAAGTACTTTCGTGAAATATGAGGTTGAGAAGAACCCGTCCTGTAGCATCTACCACCGCACAAGCAGGAGGCAGACTAGGAGATTTTGAGCCGTCTGTGTACAAAAGATTCCAACCAGTACTGTCCAATACTTGGGTTTTTTCAGCTATTAGATTCCTGAAGACGTAATTTGGAGTATCTTCTTTCTTGTGCATAGACAGTGAGATGTCAAAAGAGCAGTCTTTCAAAATCCAGGGAGGTTTAACACCAAAAGAGCGGGA